ATGACAGGCATGTGCCGAACCTGGCTGCTGCAGTGAAGCTGAGGGATGTGGGGCCAGTAGGTTTGGCGCAGCGAGGTTCGGTGCAGCGTGGTTCAGTGCAGCGAGGTTCGGTGGAGCGTGCTTCATTGCAGCAGCAACAGCTACAACAGCGATTGAATCGTCAGCAGCAGCAGCAGCAGCAGCAGCAGCAACAACAGCAACAGCAGCAGCAACAGCAGCAACAGCAGCAACAACAGCAGCAGCAACAACAACAGCAGCAACAACAGCAGCAGCAACAGCAACAGCAACAGCAACAGCAACAGCAACAACAGCAACAACAGCAGCAACAGCAGCAGCAACAGCAGCAGCAACAACAGCAGCAGCAGTTGGCTCAGTCAACGTGGTTGAGACAACAGGCCCATATCAGCCGCACAGGGCAACAGCAGGGGCAGCAGCAAGGGCAACAGCAGGGGCAGCAGCAGGGGCAGCAGCAGGGTCCCTCTCTACTGCCTCACCCCTCTGTCGCTCCTGCCGTCACTGCCCCACCTGCTCCCGCCTCCCCATCCCTCCTCCCTCCAACTCTCCTTCCCCCCTCTATCTTCCCCCCTCCTCTCCACTTCCACGGTCCTCGCTCCCCCTCAGCCCTCTCACACTCCCGACCACATGCCACGTCCGCACCTGCCACGCCAGCCCCTGCATTGTCACCGCATGCCATGTCATCGCCTGCCACGTCAGCACCTGCCACGTCAGCTCCTGCCTTTGCTTCAAAAAGCAGCACTGCCCTGAGCAGCCTTACAACCGCCACCATTCCTGCGTTCCCTCCTTATAATCACATTTTCCCAACTATCCTTACACCTTATACCACCACAGGAGCGAACCAAACGCCAAGCCTGGGCGAGGGTAGGTGGCCGGTGAGTAGATTCGGTGTTGCCGAGCCTGATGTCCGAACCACTCGGAGAGGTTCGGTGTGGGACCCAGCAGGAATGGCAGGTGGCCTGGTCACACACCAGAAGTTGGAACGAAATGCACGGGGCTGGGGAGATGCAGTTGGTTCGGGGAATGCAGCTGGTTCGGGGAAAGCAGGAGGTTCGGAACACGCAGGTGCAGGCTCGGCGAATGCAGTAAGGAGCGAGAGGGAGTGTGGCTCTGCTGGGTCAAACATGGCTCCGACAGCTGGAGATAATCCCTTAGCAGGGAGCCATACTCCTATAGCAGGGAGCCATAATCCTATAGCAGGGAGCCATAATCCCATGCAGCAAATGCTGTGGCAGCAGCACTTGCAGATGCAACTGGAGCGACAGGTGCAGGCGCAGACGCAGGCGCAGGGTCAGGAGGGAGGAGCGACTCATGAGGGATCTGCAGGAAATGCAGGGGCGGCAGCAGCAACAACGGCAATAGCAGCTGCGACAGCAACAGCAGCAGCAGCAGATGCGCAGGTCATGCACCAGCAGCAGCAGCTGCAGCAGCTGCAGCAACAGCAGCTGCATCAGCAACAGCAATTGCACCAGCAACAGCACCAGCAGCAACAACAGAAGCAGCAGAAGCAGCAGCAGCTGCCATCGTTACGAAGGTCCTTTTCTCACTCTCTCTCTCACACGTCCTCGCCCTCCTCACACACTCGCTTCTCCCACACCCACTCCATCCACCAGGGCGCACACACCCCTAACCCCTCCCTCACTCCCACCCTTAACCCCTCCTTCAACCCCTCCCTCACTCCCTCCCTCACTCCCTCCCTCACTCCCATCACAACACAGCTCTGGCAGAACAGCCGCATCCCTCTCTACCCTCTCTCCCGCCCCTCCTCCTCCTCCTTCCGAGCCCCCCCTCCTCTCCTTCCCTCCCTCCCCCTCACTCACTTTCCTCCCATTGGCTCGCCTAAACCGAGCTCGTCTGTCATTGGCTCGCCAGCTGTCGGCTCCTGCGGGCCCCCTCCCATCTCCTCGCCCTCCGCCGTTGCTGCCACGTCAGCGTCACATTCCGCTGCTGCCACGTCAGCACCCGTATCCGCAGCTGCTGCTGCTGCTGCTGCTGCTGCTGCTAGAGATACACGAGAAGCTGACGAGTTGTGCGTTGGTGAGGAGGGCGGAGAGAGGGGTACGAGAAGGGAAGAGCAGCTGAAGGAGCGTGGAGAGAGGAGCACAGCAGAAGGGGGTGTGAGTGCGGAGCAACCGCAGGAGCAAGGAGGGGATGAGTTGGGGAAGCATAGGCAAGCCAGGGGTGGCGGGAGGGAGCAAGTCAGGGAGCAAGAGGAAGGGGTGGGAGTGGTGGGGGGAATGGTGGGGGGTAATTACACCTCCCCTCTTCCTCCCTCTGCTCTCCTCAATGTGTCAGAGGATGACGTCATTAGCCTGCTGGTTGCTGACTGGGCGGCGGAAGACGCTGACCTGGCCTTGCGTGCGGAGCTGGCAGCAGCTGACGTGGCACCACCACCACCACCACCACCACCCGGTAACGGTGGAGTGAGGGGGATGCAGCCACGGGATAGAGGCATGATGGAGCAAAGTAATATGTTGGAGAGTAGTAGACCTGCCAGTACTACCAATTTGGCTGATTCTGCCCCTCCTCCTTCTCTCAGCATCCTACCCACTACTGATCTGACCGCTCTCGCAGGTGGGCAGAACCTCACTGCACTGCACACCACCGCTCATAATGCTCCGTATGAGTGGTCTGCGTATATCCGGCCTGCTCCTTCTGCTGCACGGCATGTGCAGCTGCCACGTGTACATTCCACTGGACCTGACACTGCCACGTCAGATTGTGACGTTGCCACGTCACACCATGGCATGATGATGGGTTACCACCAGCATGCCACGTCATACCATGGGAGGGATCATGGAAGCTTCCAGGGTGCAGGAGCAGCAGGCAGTATGGGGGGAACAGATGAACAGATGGCTAATCTGGTAGAGGGAACGATGCTATGGGGGATGCCAGCTCAGGCAGCTAACATGATGCCAGCTCAGCTTGCTGACATGATGACAGCTCAGCCTGCTGACACAGTGCCAGCTCAGCATGGGGATGGAGCTTATCGGGAGAGGGTTGGGTATGGAATGATGCAGCAACAAGCAGGGGAGGGGGGTGAGGATGAGAGGGAGGGGGGTAGAGACCAGTGGCCGGACTGGGTACTTAGACACATGTCATCGTGATTATAGGAGATGTGATTATATATGATTGTGATAGCAGATGTGACTGCGATGTAGGTGGATAATGTGGAAATCGTGGGTGTATGTTGTGGTGGTAATAGTGGATGGTATGGTGGTTGAGACGAATGTCAGTGTGACAGTAACGGATGTGACCAGGTCAGTCCACAGTGAGCAGAGAAGTACAGTAAAAGGAGCGCAGAAAGGAGGCCTTCAGTTAACCCTTCTTATCTACTGGTGTTTCCAAGTGTTGAACCAGAGAGTGTTCAGTCTTGCCCCTTATCTTTCAGGAATCTCGTTATTGCCCACGCACACACTGCAGCTCTTCTTGCAAAGCCCTACAGTCTGCGGTCCTGTCCCAAACATATACGCCTTGTTGCGCCCGCACTCCCCAATGCTCGCCCACTGCTGGCAATTCTCGTTGTTGCTGCTACACGCACACCCCACAACTCTTCCTGCAGTACCCCAGGCTCTGCGGCCCTGTCCCCTCAGTCCCAATCATATACTCCTTATTCTGCTCGCACTCCCCAATGCTTGCCCAGTGCGGGCAATTCTCATTGCCACTCCCTACGTGCACACCCCGCAGCTCTTCCTGCAATAACCAAGGCTCTGCTGTCCTGGCCCGTTTGCTCCCACCATGTACGCTTTATTCCGCTCGCACTCCCCAATGCTCGCCCAGTGCGGGCAGTTCTCGTTGTCGTCCGCACACACAGATGCATCACGGGGTGGCAGGTCGAAGCTCCCCACGTGGATCCACTTGGTGGCGGACCACTTCTCCCCGGCCAGCACGGGGCAACCCGCGTGGAGGGAGGCGCGATCGAAAGATGTGTCCGGGTGCAGGGAGAAGAAGAGCAACGCATCGCCCTTCCTTGGCTTGGCTGGGAGGGGGAGGGGTGGGAGGGGATTTAAGAGGGGTTTGAGGTGGGGGTTGAGGGAGACGGAGGGTGGAGAGGAAAAGGGGGAAAGGAAGCATCTGAGACACGCAACAAACAGAGGTATGTGGCTACATAGAGGTGTGTCGAGGTGTATAGATGTGTATAGAGTTGTGTAGAGGTGTATCTTGGGGCGCATAGTACGTACCAGCAATGCCCTTCTTCCCACAGTCACTCCACGAGTCATCCTTCACTACAGTGTCCTCCTGTACAAGCACCCAGCACCAACAATATGCACACACAATGAAGGTGAGATGGAAAGAACAGTGCAGCTGTTAGCTTAAGTCGCATGTCACTCAGTAGAAGTGAGCACATACAAACAGCACCTTTTCACACCCTTTATCCCCAGAAACGGCATCTTCCTTCCTAAAGCCTGCTGTGATGGCTGCCTGCTTCTCATACCCACCCCTACACATACGTAGTATTACCACCTTCCCCCCCCCCCCCCCCCCCCCCCCCCCTCCTCCCCGCCACTTCTCTCTTCTGTCTGCTCCATCATACCTCGGACTCAGGGAAGGCAGTCTCCCCGCCCTTCACCACATTCATGAGGTACATGAGCACGGTGGCGTAGCAAGGGCCCCCTTGGGTGGGTGCTTTATCTTAATGCCAACCCATACTACCCACTCAGCCCCCAGGCCAGGCATACCTCGGACTCAGGGAAGGCCGTCTCGCCGCCCTTCTCCACATTTGTAAGGTACATGAGCACTGTGGCGTAGCGAGGGGCTCCCGGGGTGGCAGGCTCCCTCCCATACCTATTCCCTCTCCCGTTTGCCCCCGAAACCCCCACATGTCTGCCCCTCATACCTCGGACTCAGGGAAGGCAGTCTCCCCGCCCTTCTCCACATTTGTAACGTACATGAGCACCGTGGCGTAGCGAGGCCCCCCCGGGGTGGGCGCTTCCTCTTATTCCCACCCACAAACATGTGACATACCTTCTCCACCCCCACGCCTCTCAGTGCGTCCCTCGTACCTCGGACTCAGGGAAGGCAGTCTCGCCGCCCTTCTCCACATCAGTGAGGTACATGAGCACTGTGGCATAGCGAGGGCCCCCTGGGGTGGGTGCCTTGGCAGGGTCGATGTAGTCCCAGTGTGCCCCGTACTCCTGCCCGTCTCTGTACCTCAGCACTTGCATCGCCTCCTGGTTCTCTGCGCACATAAGGGGGGGTCATAGGAAGTGGGGGAGGGAAGGCGGACGGTCGGATGGATGGACTGACGGAGAAAGTGGTAGAGGACGGGCAGGGCAATTTGGCCTTTTGGAAATTCACAAGAGGTGGCTCGTTTATGCGAAGTCGATAAAAAAATGTGCCAGCTGGGAGGAAGGGCAGGGCTTACCGATGGGGAGGAAGGTCCAAGCAGCCACACGCTCTTCAATGCGCCGAATGACTGCATTCTGGCCCGGTATGAGGGAGATAGGGTGGAGGGTGGAGTAGAGGAGGGGCTGAAGAAAGAATCCCAGAAGGGAGGGAGAGCATAAAACGACTCACTCCCATAATTCCAGATAGAGGAGCTGCTTGTGTCGTGCCTCGCACTTAACGATGAACGAGCCATCACTGATCAATGATTCGCTGATGCTGCTTTTCATAATTCGGAAAATGCCGCCGCAGCTTGCACTCGATTTGGTATACTCGATGAAATGTATTTGGTATGGTACACTTGATTTGTGATGCTCCAACACACAACTAGAGTTGCTAGTGTCGCACCTCGTACTTAACAATGAAGGAGCCATCGCTGGTGCGTATGCTATCCCGCACGCTCTTCCCACTCTCGCTTAGCACTGTGGACCGCTCCATCCGAGGACGTGACTATAAGGGGGGGTGATGGATGATGGGAAGATGTGGAGGGTAGTGAGAGGAGGGGGGTGGGGGTTGGGGGGAGGGAGGGGGAGGGGAGGGGACATGACAGAATTTTTGCTAGAAAATCAAGAATGAATGGAATGGACAGGAAGGAGAGGAAGGATCGGAAGGCTGTGAAGGGTTGAACAATAGGAAGGATGGGTCATCACAGGTGACTGTGAGATTGTTGGTTGGTACTCACATAGTTGACAATGTAGTCACACTCCGCCTCGGATAAGAATTGGGGGAACAGGAATGCCCTGGAAATTGGTAACACAGTTACAGCATGGCACGTGTCAGCGTTATGCTAACCACAATGCCTGTACACATCATGTAACCACAATGACCGCGGACTACAAATTTCGTTGAAAATCAAGCAAAAGTCGGAGCGAGTTTCGCGATGCAGTACCTAGGCTTCCAGGAAAGCCGTTGAACCTTGCTGACGTCAGGAATGTGAACAGGGGGTTCTTCTAACGGGGGGTCCGTATCAGCATCACTGTAACACACGTATGATCAACGCTTACTCAGAATAGAGACACGGTAAGGTCATAATGGACGACAACAACGATGAGTTGCGATCATCTTGCGAATCTGCGGACTGGAACGTACGTAATGCCGGATTGATTGTCAGTCGCTTCGATGAAGTGTCCGGAAACGGCATTCGCAATAAGAACGCTAATCACAATCACAAGGGCTTGTCGTGAACAAGCGACGGAGGCCATCACGGCAAACCGTCGCCGCTGGCCCTCCTGAACCAAACGAGTCTCTCTGTCAGTGCAGTGACTAAGCAGCCTTGCCGCTTTTCTGCCAGCCGACTATGCTTTACACGCTCCCTTATTTTAAAAAGACGAGTCTGGTTTTCCTGACTGACAAAGCATGACTGGAGAACGCGAAGTTGGTTCTGGTCAGGACAGGAAGCAACAGTGAGCGTGAGAAAAGTGAAGCAAAACTCACACGTAACGAAGCGAAACATTTATGTGGTTGGACAATGCGTTTCGCAAACTATATTGTGCGACAATTCCCCCCCCCATTGGGCTTTACGAAACAATTTCGCCACAGTGACAGTTCGTCGCAAACCACGAGGGGAACCTTCGGATTCCATTTTACCCCTTTCTAGATTTGCATGATAATCCCAAGGCTGCTCTTCAGTCATTTTCATTTCTGATGGTCGTTAATTCCTAGAGTTCCAGGGACTTCGGGATTGCCATATTCCGCGTCATTGCATCCCATCCCACATCTCTCTGCTTTCTGCTCTTCATCCCAGAGCAGTAAGAGCAGAATCCTTTCTCTTGCCGTATAACTCACACCGTCTCTGACCGTCAACCATCACGTGGCTCACACCCTTATGAATTTGCCGCGATTCAGAGACTAAAAAAATGTATTCATGTCGTCGAGTGAGTCTAATGTCCGGACGTGGACCGTCCAGGCCGGCCCTGCTCCTGCTAGCGTCGCTCGCGCTGGCGCTTCTGATGCTGCTGGCGGAACCCGCTTCGGGATTCGAACCCGACGCTCTTCCAGGCTGGCTTGGCGACACGTAAGCAGCGCAGACAGTGTCTCACCCTCCGATTCGTTCGCATCCCTGCATAGTTACCATCTTCGCGTTTCGTCTTCTGCTGACTAGTCATCCGCTCGTCATCATGCATTTCCCCCAGCTATCGCTCCACTGCTATTCCCAAGCCACCAGCAGCCGAACCAGGGTTGAGCGAGCCTCGCATCAGTCAACCAACCCCGTCGTCCTCCCCATCCCCCTCATCTTCCCCCTTCCCCACGGTCTCCCCCCTTCCCCCCCCTTTTTCACCCAGCTATCGCTCCACTGCTATTCCCAAGCCACCAGCAGCTGAACCGGGGTTAAGCTAGCCTCGCATCAATCACCCAACCCCGTCGTCCTCCCCATCCCCCTCCTCTTCCCCCTTCCCCTCGGTCTCCCCCCTTCCCCCCCTTTTTTTCCCCAGCTATCGCTCCACTGCTATTCCCAAGCCACCAGCAGCTGAACCGGGGTTGAGCGAGCCTCGCATCAATCAACCAACCCCCTCCTCCTTTCCACCTTCCACCTCTTCCCGCTTTTCCCCCCACTCCCTTATCGCTCCTCCCCTGATCCCAAGCTAGCAGCAACAGCCTCGCATTAATCATTCAACCCTCTCCTCCCCATCCCGCAACTCTTCCCCCTCCTCCCCCCTCCCCCACTCTCTCCCTCCTCCCCCCAGCTATCGCTCCATTCCTAATCCCAAGCCAGCGGCAGCTGAACCCGAACCTGGGCTGAGCGAGCCTCGCATCGTCCGGCTATCGTGGAAACCAAGGTGAGGCAGAGTACATGCTGACGTGGACAATGACACGTGATGATGATGATCACGTGGCACCGCCTTGCATCGTCCGCCGTTGAGTCTGCCTCTCCTCGTGCCCCCTTACTTACAATAACAGCTGATTACTCGGTCTGTACTGAGACTTCACTCGCCCCCTCTCCCTCTCTCGCTCGCTCCACCCCACCTCTCTCCGTCCCCTAGGGCGTGGATCTACAAGCAGTTTCTGACACACGAGGAGTGCGATCACATTATTGAATTGGTGTGTAGACACGCATGCTTGCGCACACGCATGCACACACGCATGCACACACGCATGCACACACGCATGCACACACGCATGCACACACGCATGCACACACGCATGCACACACGCATGCACACATGCATGCACACACGCATGCACACATGCGCACACACATGCGCACCCAGGCACGTCTCAAGCTAACTCTGTCAAAAGTGATGGCAGATGATGGCACCACAGACACAGATAGCACACACCACATGGCCCATTCCCGCACTCCCTCAGGCACGTCACAACTTGACTCGGTCAGAAGTGGTGGCAGACAATGGCACCGAAGAGGTAGACACCATTTCCCTACTATGCCCCATTGCCGCACTCCCCCATTTCCTCCTCTCCCCTCCTTCCCCCCCCCTCCCCCTCCAACATCCTCCCAGGCGCGTCACAACCTGACTCGGTCGGAAGTGGTGGCAGACAATGGCACTGAAGAGATAGACACCATTCGCACCAGCTACGGAACTTTCCTGGAAACTGCCCAGGTCAGTTCCCTTCTTTACCTTCTTCTCCACCATATCTCCCTCCTTCTCTCCCGTTCTCTCTCCCTCCTTCCGTCCCGCACTGTCTTTCTTCGTCTTTTGCCCCCGCTAGGCACGGCCCAAAATGGAGAGGTCAACAGTGCTGGCGGATAACGGCTCCAGTGTTATAGATGACTACAGGTCCAGCTCTGGTAGCTTCCTCGATATTGCTCAGGTCTGTTGCTCTGTGAACCTTGAGTCTAGTCAGAGAGATCTCCCTAGTTGGGTGGGTGGGGCCCACAGTGGATACAGCAGTCAACAGTGCTGGCTGACAACGGCTCCAGCGTTGCTTACAGACGACTATAGGTCCCTTCCCATGCCCCTTCTCCTGCTCCCTTCTCACGCCCCTTCCAATGCTCCTTCTAATCCCCCTTCCCATGTCCCTCCGCATACCCTCCTTCAGGATGACGTCATCAAGCGCATAGAAGACCGCATTGCTTCCTGGACCTTCCTCCCTCCTGGTAAGTCCGCCTTCCCCTCTCCTGTCAAGTCTGCCTTCCCCCTTGGTGTCCCTGCCCAACCTCCCCCCTTGCTGCGCGATGCAGGTGCTGCGGTATGCAGAGGGGCAGAAGTACAACAGGAGCAAGCATTCATGCCACTCACTCTTCCCTCATATCTTCCCTCCCCCTTTCCCCCTGCACACCCCAGAGAACCAGGAGTTGATGCAGGTGCTGCGGTACGCTGTGGGGCAGAAATACGATGCTCACCACGATTTCTCAGTCAACTCCAACCACCCACCCCCCCCGCCCTCCCCTCCCCTTGCAACCCTTTTTTTTCCCCCCCTGTATGCTCCAGAGAACCAGGAGTCAATGCAGGTGCTGCGGTATGCAGTGGGGCAGAAGTACGACGCCCACCATGATTTCTTTGACGAGGATGAGAAGAAGCAGCAGGAGGGCCACTGTTATGCCCCATCTGTGCCTCCCCTGCCTCCTCCTCTCCTTCTCCGTACAGAGAACCAGGAGTCGATGCAAGTGCTGCGCTACGCTGTGGGGCAGAAGTACGATGCGCACCATGATTTCTTTGACGAGGATGAGAAGAAGCAGCAGGGCGGGCACCGCTACGCCACTGTGCTCATGTACCTTACTGATGGGTTCTCTGGTGGAGAGACCGTGTTTCCTGACTCGGAGGTGAGAGTGGGTGGCTGTTTGGGTGGCTGTTTGACCGTGTTTCCTGACTCGGAGGTGAGAGTGGGTGGCTGTTTGGGTGGCTGTTTGACCGTGTTTCCTGACTCGGAGGTGAGAGTGGGTGGCTGTTTGGGTGGCTGTTTGACCGTGTTTCCTGACTCGGAGGTGAGAGTGGGTGGCTGTTTGGGTGGCTGTTTGACCGTGTTTCCTGACTCGGAGGTGAGAGTGGGTGGCTGTTTGGGTGGCTGTTTGACCGTGTTTCCTGACTCGGACGTGAGAGTGGGTGGCTGTTTGGGTGGCTGTTTGACCGTGTTTCCTGACTCTGAGGTGAGAGTGGGTGGCTGTTTGGGTGGCTGTTTGACCGTGTTTCCTGACTCGGAGGTGAGAGTGGGTGGCTGTTTGGGTGGCTGTTTGACCGTGTTTCCTGACTCGGAGGTGAGAGTGGGTGGCTGTTTGGGTGGCTGTTTGACCGTGTTTCCTGACTCGGAGGTGAGAGTGGGTGGCTGTTTGGGTGGCTGTTTGACCGTGTTTCCTGACTCGGAGGTGAGAGTGGGTGGCTGTTTGGGTGGCTGTTTGACCGTGTTTCCTGACTCGGAGGTGAGAGTGGGTGGCTGTTTGGGTGGCTGTTTGACCGTGTTTCCTGACTAGGAGGTGAGAGTGGGTGGCTGTTTGGGTGGCTGTTTGACCGTGTTTCCTGACTCTGAGGTGAGAGTGGGTGGCTGTTTGGGTGGCTGTTTGACCGTGTTTCCTGACTCGGAGGTGAGAGTGGGTGGCTGTTTGGGTGGCTGTTTGACCGTGTTTCCTGACTCGGAGGTGAGAGTGGGTGGCTGTTTGGGTGGCTGTTTGACCGTGTTTCCTGACTCTGAGGTGAGAGTGGGTGGCTGTTTGGGTGGCTGTTTGACCGTGTTTCCTGACTCGGAGGTGAGAGTGGGTGGCTGTTTGGGTGGCTGTTTGACCGTGTTTCCTGACTCGGAGGTGAGAGTGGGTGGCTGTTTGGGTGGCTGTTTGACCGTGTTTCCTGACTCGGAGGTGAGAGTGGGTGGCTGTTTGGGTGGCTGTTTGACCGTGTTTCCTGACTCGGAGGTGAGAGTGGGTGGCTGTTTGGGTGGCTGTTTGACCGTGTTTCCTGACTCGGACGTGAGAGTGGGTGGCTGTTTGGGTGGCTGTTTGACCGTGTTTCCTGACTCTGAGGTGAGAGTGGGTGGCTGTTTGGGTGGCTGTTTGACCGTGTTTCCTGACTCGGAGGTGAGAGTGGGTGGCTGTTTGGGTGGCTGTTTGACCGTGTTTCCTGACTCGGAGGTGAGAGTGGGTGGCTGTTTGGGTGGCTGTTTGACCATGTTTCCTGACTCTGAGGTGAGAGTGGGTGGCTGTTTGGGTGGCTGTTTGACCGTGTTTCCTGACTCTGAGGTGAGAGTGGGTGGCTGTTTGGGTGGCTGTTTGACCGTGTTTCCTGACTCTGAGGTGAGAGTGGGTGGCTGTTTGGGTGGCTGTTTGACCGTGTTTCCTGACTCTGAGGACGAGAAGAAGCAGCAGGGGGGCACCGCTATGCCACTGTGCTCATGTGCCACTGTGGGGCGAGTGCATCACCCCCATCAGAGTGGGGCGAGTGCATCACCCCCATCAGAGTGGGGCGAGTGCATCACCCCCATCAGAGTGGGGCGAGTGCATCACCCCACTCTGCTCATGTACCTCACCCGATGGGTTCAGCGGCGGGGAGACCGTGTTTCCAGACTCAGAGGTTATAGCGCGAGAGAGAGAGAGAGAGAGAGAGAGAGAGAGAGAGAGAGAGAGAGAGAGAGAGAGAGAGAGAGAGAGAGAGAGAGAGAGAGAGAGAGTGTGCACGTGTGCATATCATGCCTTATCATCTCGTATACTGCCACGTCATGTCAATCGTGCCATTTTTCCATGTCATGCCCTACCGTGCCCACCCATGCAGAAGGACAAGCAAGAGAAGGACAACACATGGTCTGAGTGTGGCAAGCAGGGTGTGGCAGGTGAGGCGGTGGGTGGGATGGGTGGGGGGCGATTTGAAAGTGAACACTCAAGCAGCGGATGTTTTGCACTGGAGGGTGATTGCCTCTGAAGCACTCTACCCTTTCCTCTCCTTGTTACTAAAAGCTTAAGCCCTCGTTGACTGTATACAAAACCATTCCCTCTTATTCCCATGGCCCGTCCCTTTCCCACTTCCCCCATTCGCCCTACCCCCACTCCCTCTTCACCCTCCCAGCCAAGCCAGTGAAGGGCGATGCGCTGCTCTTCTTCTCCCTCAAGCCCTCCACCTTCCCACCACCCCCCGTTTCGCCCCTGCTTCCCTCCCTTCCCCGCTTCACCACCTCTTCCTCTTCCCACTGCCAGCCAAGCCAGTGAAGGGCAATGCGCTGCTCTTCTTCTCCCTCAAGCCCTCCGCCTTCCACCACCCCCGCTTTATTCATTTCCCCTCCGTTCCCCTCCCCACCATCCCTCCTCTTCCCACTGCCAGCCAAGCCAGTGAAGGGCGATGCGTTGCTCTTCTTCTCCCTCAAGCCATCTGCCGAGCCCGATCTAGCCTCCCTCCATGCAGGCTGCCCCGTGCTGGCCGGGGAGAAGTGGTCCGCCACCAAGTGGATCCACGTGCGCTCCTTTGAAGAAGAAAACGGTGACGATGAGGCGGGGAACGAGGGCGGGAGTCCGTCTAAAAAGTCGCACCCGCCTGGTGCGTGTGTGGACGAGAGCGAGCATTGTCCGTTGTGGGCTAAGGGAGGAGAGTGTGAGAAGAACCCCGGGTATATGCACAGCAGCTGTGCCAGGAGCTGTGGCAAGTGCAGTGTCCTGGCAGCTTCTGCATGACACCTCTAAGGGTAGCTCTGCAATTACATATTACTGGTAAGGCTGTACTGAGTACAGTATTTTTTGAACAACCTGGTCATTGAATCAAATGGTGCGTCACCCGTTTGTGCCTTATGTTACGAAGCAGTGCTTCTGTTTAGTAAACAAAAACCCAGTAGCAAGCCCAGTAAGCCCAGCCCACCCAACACTATCCCTCTGAAACCCCTCATCCTGAACTACCCATTCCTAAGGAAAAGTGGAGAAATAACCCTCTGAAAGATTTGGAAGCACCACATTAGCAGAGCTGCGAACACGCCAAGTACTTGAACAGGCTGAAAGCAAACAGCCTCAGGGAGGGATTGAGAGAGCAAGCTGGAGCAAGCAATCTCTTGAGTCTCAGCAGACAGCCACGCCTGGAAACCGAAGCAGGCTGGTGCGAGATCTGCAACCTAGCAGCTGGAACACAACAGCTGCGGGCATATCGGTGGTCGCAGGCGAAAGCGGTGGTAACGACAGACGGACTGCTTCGCCCACCGTCGCCACCTTCGACCAGTGCCACCAGCGACCAGTAACGGCTGCCGTCTTGTCGATTCGCTGCTGCCGAAATCGCTGGTGAAACCCCGGTTGCGAGAAGTATCCAGGAGGAGAATGGGATTCACCTGACGCCGTTCCGTTCCTCCCGCTGCTGCTATACATTGCCCGTGAAAAACCCCGTTTCATGCCTAACCAAGCGGCCCACTAGCACGTCAATGAGCAAAGAGACACAACCGCGTTACAGGCACCAGGCCAACTAAGATAACCACCGCTGTCCGCTTTATTTCTTCTTGATGCTCCCGCGGACGCCGGGACGCTCCTTGTTTTCGAGATCCAAGCCTTCGTGCTGATCAGTGATCTTGCTCTCGTCGAACGGTAGCTTCGGATGCCGAGCCTCGTGGTGGATCTGCATGCTCTTCACGTCTGGCGCCGTCGCTTTGCAGACCGGACACACGTACTTGGCGTGGCCGCCTTTGTCCAATCCCAGGCGGTCCGCTAGTCCGGCTTTTCCGCCTCCGCGATTGGTCGTCGCCGCGTCGGCCTTCATGGCGAGTTCTTTCGCCGTGTGCTTCTTCGGCTTCGCCTTTCCCGTCATGCTGTCGCTTAGGGATCGCTCGGGGATGTGATTAAAACGGTGTGACTAAAACGAGGACAAGGAAGAAAAAAAGCTGTTGGCTTGTGTTGCGACCACCGCGGAAAAAAAAAAAATGCGAGATCTGTGAGAAGCTGAAAAAACGTATCGTGCCAGTCGAGAAGGCCAATCGGTTCTAGAATGTAGTGACTGTACAGCCCAGTCCAGCTAGGTTTTGAACGCGAGAAAGCGAACCAATGAGAGAGAAACGTGGACTAAACCACGGAGAAAGAATCTAGGTTGTGGCCACAAGTAACGAAGACAATGGCCTTTTACGTACCCTAGAGATGATCGGATGGTGGTGTGTGTGAATGGCGGGCTCTGGGTTTCTCCTCCGTCAATGTTTCTGTTTCTGTCCGTCAGCGAGAAGGCTCGTCTTTGCAGGAAGAATAGGGTGGGAATCGTTGCGTGAGGGGGTTCTGCTACAACGAAGTTTGAGAAGAAGTTACCCGTTTTCGCTGTGTAGCTACAGACGAATCTGCTGCCATATCTATCTGTACAGCCTGATGATATTATACAAGAAAGGTGAGCGTAGGTACTAGACGGTACCGTACGGTCTATCTCCTACATGCACTTGCCTTGCACGGCATAACACTCATGCCTCCTCACTCCCTCCCAAGTGCTTCCCGCATTTTGCGGCACCGTTCTTGTGCTTTTCTATAGCCGCTGCTGTGGCTGTTTGAAACTACTCGGATGAGTGTCGACTATTAGCGGTTAGAGAGAGCGAGATAGAATAGCGGGAGTGCATCTCAAAGGATACTGTTGATTTTGTTCGCATAAAATAGAATATAGTATCACTCTGCTGGGAAACCCAGTAGACTTGGTAAATAGTCCATAGAACTTTATTTTCCTGTACATTTCGATATAGTTTCCACGACTCGGGCCTTTCTTCGAGATACGATTTAACTTGTCGTCGTGATTTGTCATCTCAGTTTGTATTTTATTTCCGTCCGTCCTCTCTCACAACCGCGTTTAACCGCTGTAAAAATCTCTGCATTCGATAGAGTTGCCCGTTTTCTGGCAAGTTCCCTTCCTCGCTTACTAGCCCGTATCCGCCCGCCTTAGCTTCTACGGTACTTTCGAGCCGACTCGACACAAGTTTCACGTTCATTGTTTCTTATTCGTCCTCGCCGCCACGTCCGACTCGCTGCTGTTGGGTTCAGTCCGCCTCGCCGCTTGGAGATGTCACTAAGTTTCGAGTCGTCTCAAAAGTCGTCCTCGCCGCCCCGTCCGACTTGCTACTGCTAGATTCGGTCCCCATCGCTTCTTCCCGCCTCACTTTCTCCTCCGCGTCGCGATGGACGCGTGTGCGGACAGCGGTCCGGCGAAGCGCGCGGAGATATACACGTACGAGGCGCCATGGCCCGTCTACAGCATGAACTGGAGCGTGCGACCCGACAAGAATTTCCGCCTCGCCGTCGGAAGCTTCATAGAAGATTACCGGAATAAGGTAAGGCGGACGGCTAAGGAGTTTCACCGGTGAGAGAGTTGCACAAAATCTGGGAATAAGGTAGATATTATTGTCTTTTCTTTGTTCCACTACAAAGTCTCGCATTGACCTCCAAAGAAAGAAAGAAAGAAAGAAAGAAAGTAAAGACAAAAAGAAAGAAAGAAAAAAAGGCATCCTTCGGTTTCTCCCCTCCCCCTCCTCTTCTCCCCCCCCCCTCCCTCCCCCCCCCCTCCCCCTTCCTCCCCCCACGCCGCCTCTCCTCTCCTCCCCATCTTCCTCCCCCTCCCCCTTCTCCCTTCCTCCTTCCCTCTCTTGCAGGTGGAGATAGTCCAGCTAGACGACAACACAGGCGAGCTGAGGAGCGACCCACGGCTGACGTTTGACCACCCGTACCCGCCCACCAAGCTCATGTTCGTGCCGGGTCGCGACATTGCTCGCCCGGACCTGCTCGCCACGTCCGGCGACTTCCTGCGGATCTGGCAGGTGCGGGGGGGAAGCAGAAGGGGGGTAGCGGGGAAGGTGGGGAGAAAGGGCGGAGCGGGGGAGGTGGGGGGAGGGGTAAGAGCGGGGGAAGGGGCGAGAGGGGACGGGGTGCGCATGCGCAGTGTGCTCAACGACCAGCCTGACTTCTCACTGTCTCTGCTCATTAATTGTGCACTCTGTGTTTCTGCACCACCTGCCATGCCACATCAGATAACTGATGACGGCGTGCGCATGCGCAGCGTACTCAACAACAACAAGAACAGCGAGTTCTGTGCACCGCTCACCTCCTTCGACTGGAATGAGTCCGAACCAAGGAGGCTCGGGACGTCCAGGTACGGAAAGGGATTCAAGTTCGTTGTTTTCTGGATTGCATTATTAACCATTGCCGCTCCTCTTCTGTTTTGCCTCCGACTCAAACTGCCTTCTCCACACCCTATACTTACTTCTACCCCTCGAACTACCTTCTCCCCGCACTATACTATTTTTGACAAGGTGACTTTTGAGTCAACTCAAAAGTCACCTCGTTTAGCCTCCGTCTTGAACTACCTTCTCCACACCCTATGCTTCCTTCTGCCCCTCACGTGGCATGTCCCGCTCCCGTCCTCCACCAGCATCGACACCACGTGCACCATATGGGACATGGAGAAGGAGGTGGTGGACACACAGCTCATCGCTCACGACAAGGAGGTCTACGATATCGCTTGGGGGGGAGTCGGCCTCTTCGCCTCCGTCTCAGGTGAAAACGCAGTTAGCTCAGGTGTGTGCTGTTGTGGGGACCCCCAGCCCCATGCTCGTTCGTACCTGTCTCTGTGTTTCTCCGCCCCTTCTCTCCCCCTCGTGCTATCTTTCGTTCTGGCCCAACCACCGGATGGGTCAGTGAGGGTGTTTGATCTGCGCGACAAGGAGCACAGCATCATCATCTTTGAGAGCCCCCATCCCAGCCCCATGGCCGTTTATGCATCCCTGTACCCGTCGCCCCTCTCTTCCTCCCTCTCCCTCTCCAGCTGATGGGTCAGTGAGGGTGTTTGATCTGCGGGACAAGGAGCACAGCACCATCATCTACGAGAGCCCCCAGCCGGAGACCCCTCTGCTGCGCCTGGGGTGGAACAAGCAGGACCCGCGCTACATGGCAACCATTCTCATGGACTCACCCAAAGTGGTCATCCTCGATATAAGATTCCCCACCTTGCCAGTGGCGGAGCTACAGGCAAGTTACCTTAACCAACCACCACGTGCTCGTGCCCTTTTGCTCCTGTGCTTCAGATCTTGCTTTCTACAATCACCCCCTCTTGTGTCACCACCAGATCACGAGACCCTCTATTGTGACAATACATCTACATTGCTTACCCACATCCGGACCTTTCCCAACCGCTCATCCCGCCAATTTCTTTTCGCTGCCCCCTCTTCCCAATCCTTTCCTCCTCTTCCACGTCCTTCTCTCCTCTCTGCTTTCCCACCAACAGCGCCACCAGGCGTGTGTGAATGCAATTGCGTGGGCACCGCACAGTTCATGCCACATCTGCACAGCAGGAGATGACTCACAAGCTCTGATCTGGGATCTTTCCACCATGACCCAGCCTGTGGAAGGAGGGTTGGACCCCATTCTAGCTTACACTGCTGGAGCAGAAATCAACCAGCTACAGTGGTCATCTTTGCAGCATGATTGGGTTGCCATAGCTTACGCTACAAAATTGCAGATTTTGAGAGTGTAGTGCTGTTCACATTGTCCGTTACCTAGATAGAAATTGTAGATGGTGGAAATAAATTCTCAGTTCTGAAGTGCAGTTTGGCGGCCAGCTGAACATCTAACAAACAAGGACGAGGTAAGACATTCTGAAAACACTTTACCATACAGACACTTGCATTACAACTAGCCTAAGCTTCGTCAATAGTACTACAGCATGGGTCAGTAAGAGCCAGAATATACAGAAGTCCCTGTGTGTGCTCCACATGAGCAGCTTTATGGTCTTAACTACTGCACACAGAAAAATTGAGCAAGTTAGTTTCACTGGCATAATGAAATCCAGAAAGTATCCGCAAATTGTAAGAGAGGCTTACTGGTATGGTAGTGGCAGCAGATAAAATAATCGCTGCTGCCAGGTCTCAGGCATTGGGGTCTTCGCGTTAACAGCAGACTGCTCGCTCAACAAGCTGAGCGGCAGGCTCCTCTAGGGTCTGAGTTCTTTTCTCCTTGGCCAGGCTCGCAAAAAAATCGGACATCACGTGTTCGTAACCAGGCATCTTTGCAAAGCCCGGAAAATAGTTGATGTCGACGATATAAAACCGTCTGCTGCAGTTCCTGTCCCGAATCAGATCGAAGTTAAACAACCTCAGCCCAAGGTTCTTTCTCAGTCTGGAAGAAATCGAAATCATCAAATCTGCTGGTGGTAGCTCCACATGTGAAAGGCTCGCATCAGCTACCTCTCCTCCTTTTCTTCCCAAACCGGGGAGATTAGAGACCTGACAGAATGATCTTAATCCATCAGGATTCGCAAGGTCTTGCGGTTGAGGATCTGCGGAAGGACACAATAATTGATATTCAGCACTCATAAGGAATCAAAAGTGAAGAATAAAAACCGATAAAAGGCACCTAAAACGGAGAGAGAGAACAAAAAAAAAGGAAACGGGAAACGACTAACTCAATAACATATGGCACTATACCAGGCAATGACTTCCGCCGGAGACACTTCACTTGATTCCCCACGACGTAAACTTTAAAAATCACACCACCGTGATCGACGAACTTTTGAAGAACAAACGGAGGCAACAGCTTCTTCAATCCTTCCTCGTTGTACACGAGCCACATGAGATGCGACTTGGGTGTTCCGTCGACTAGTAGTGGTTTCGCGATGACAGGAAAGGACAGGCCGGAGGTCGCAAAGCTTTCGGTGACTGACTGTTTTTCGTGCACGACAATTTGCTTCGGGATCCCGACGACACATCCACACTCGTATTGCAGTTTGTCGTCAACGGCCTGAAGCATGGAAATACGATTGTATAACCGCGCAATGGCTTCCGGGGGGTCAATGACAAGAACATCTGGTCTGCTCAGTTGATACTCCTCCAACTCCTCGTACCACTGTTGCGACGGAATCTTGTGAAGAATGGCGTCAAAAGGTCCTTGCTCTGCTAGCGGTTTCGACAGATCTATTTTTACCAGCTCAATACCTTTCCTACTAGACTCCCTCTGAAGCTTCTCCTGAAGAAAGCTGTTGATTTTCTTCTGCACAAGAGCGTATCCTATCCGAAACCTAGTAGGCGAGCCGGACCTTTCCTCCATCAACAGCTCCACAACACAGGCTCTACCTGGGTGCATGAAAGGCAAGAGGGGGAAAAAGAATATGTGAAACCCTGGGGGAATTAATCCTGCTCAAAGCTGGGTCCTTCCTCTTATACTCCCTGCGTCCTGTCTGTTTCGTGGCTGGAAACCTGCTGGTTGGTGTACCGAACCGACTGACTAACTGCTGAAAACACTTCTGCCGATAGTATCACCAATTCCGGACCATGAGTGGACGAGAGTGATGGTCGACAAATTTGAGGGGATACGAAAAGGAAGAATAATTTCAGAATACGGGATCAGGATAGGCGCTAAGAATAAACTTCAGTTTCCTTGTATCGAACGGAATCGAGTCTCGCATGGATGGCAAGTGCTCACCATAGCTGACGTGGCGGCCCCTGGCACCGCGTAATGACAACTACTCAAATTTCATCGACGGTCAAGAATGATCAAACATCCCCCACGATCCAGTATAAATGTCCACCTGGCAGGATCCCCCTTGCCTAACGAACTTGGGCAAGACGCATCCAGCATTTTCCGAGAATCGGCGAGCTGATATCGACGATGGTCGCTTGTCGCACCAACTTCGTTTCCACTGACGAATATTCCAACGAATCACGTTCGTTGGCACACACCAACATCTAGGAGGGGCGAATCGTGCGAACTACCGGAAAATGACTGTTCTGTTCCAGGCCGATTTCACTTCCATCCCCGATTGTGACCTAGGAGGATTATGACCGCCGAAATTGCTAACCTAGGTGATATTTCTGTGATAACACAACATCCCATACTTCTTGGCCTCCAATCTGATCTGAACCCTCTGTTTCTAAAATGAAAAAATGAGCAAATGCTTTCAGTATGCTTACTAGAGGTGGTGGTGATGCATAGCAATAAATGACGTGGAACTATGTACAAACAGCTGTCCAAAAGTTGGCGACTCGCTTCAGTGCTTGTGCCGGTGCAGTAGGTTAGGAATCACAGCTCAGGCTGCAAGGGTATGCGAGCTGCTGCAGCTGAAAAGACTTCGTCTGCTCCTTTAACTGTGAAGGTGCAAACACGAGGGAGAAAGACAAATAGGGGTGCAGAAACGAGCTCAGACGACAGACTCGACACGAATTAGTACATATACGGTGCATGCAATTAGCTGCTGCTAAAGCTGTCTGTGATTGACACGAGCTCATCCCCGATATAGCCACTCGGCAAGCATCAGCGAGGCAATCAGTGTTGGCACGAGCAGCATTGAGAACCGCCTTGGTAGATGTGAGACGGCCGGCTATGGACGAGACGAGGCACGATGACCTTTGAGTCGACTCGACTCAGCACTATACCAACACCCCACACCAGCTGATAGACACTCAGAGAGGCAGCAGCGAGGCGGTCGCTATTGGCACTTGCAGCATGATGGCTTCCAAGTTGACTCAAAAGCCAAGTCAACACTCAACCGTGACAGCCACTCAAAGAGGCATCGGCGAGCAAGTCACTGTTGCCACATGCATCATCTAGAGCCGCCTTAGCATCAGTGAGATGGGATGATGGGCTATGGATGAGATGTCTTAATACTCAAATCAATGCCCAGGCATGAGAGCCACTCCCAGAGGCGTCAGCCAGCAGGTCACTTTTGCCACATGCAGCATCGAGAGCCGCCTTGGTAGATGTGAGACATACCAGCACCCCACCCCAGCTGTCACTCACAGAGGCGTCCGCCAGCAGGTCACTGTTGCCACATGCAGCATCGAGAGCTGCCTTGGTAGAGGTGAGATGGTCAGCTATGGATGAGACGAGGCACGCCACCCCAGGCACCTGATGGTAAGTGGAGGGAGGCAGGTGGGAGGAGGGGCAAGTGGGAGTGGGGAGAAGTGGGGGATGGGGGAGATAGTGCTGTGCTGAGATTGTTTTGGAGGGAGGGGCACGGTCGTGCAGGCCATCAAGCCGCTCCTTGAGCGGCTCATGTGCCACATGTGCAACTGAGTGCCTCGTGCGTGGCTCATGAGTGCCTCATATGGCTGATGGGCATCAGATGTATGGCATAGCTACCTGGACAAGGTCGTCAGCACAGGGTTGCATTGCTGTGAGCAGGTCGTGCAGGCCGTCTAGCTGCTCCTTCAGCCGTGCTGCATTCACCTGTGATGTGGGACATGGGTTGCAGGACATGGGGTATGGCACATGGAACATGGGGTATTGGAATTGCTGGTACAGTGCATGGAGTTTTAATGAGCGCCCTGGTACAGTGCTCCTTCAGCCGTGCTGCATTCACCTGTATCCACTGAGGGGATACAGTCACTAATAACCCACCGTGCTGGAGGGGTGGATGGACAGTTTCACCAGCGAGTCAGAGAGCACCTGAATGGCCGCTGATGGTCCTCAAAGCCAGCTGATGGCCGCTGAGCCAGCTGGTGGCTGCTGCACCGCTGCTCCTCCTGCTGCAGTTACAGCAGCAAAGAACCGTGGTCATCCACCACTGACACTGACTCACCGTGCTGGAAGGGTGGATGGGCAGTTTAACAAGTGAGTCAGACAGCGCCTGAATGATGGTCCTCAAAGCCAGCTGGTGGCCGCTGCGCTGCTGCTCCTCCTGCTGCAACAACAGTTGCAGAGACCTGAATGCTCCCCCACAAGCATTCAGTACTCACCGTGCTGGAGGGGTGGATGGGCAGTTTCACCAGCGAGTCAGACAGCGCCTGAATGACGGTCCTTAAAGCCAGCTGGTGGCTGCTGCGCTCGTGATGCTCCTGCTGCAGCAGCGGCTGCAAGCCCTCATTGCTCAGCAGCCGGCGAGCCCGCTGGTGGATCTCCCTCCGCTGCTGCTGCCCCTGCTGCTCACACCGCTCCTGTTGCAGGTGCAAGCAGTAGCTTGCTGCTGCCGCCAGCGCCTCCTGGGAAAGAGGAGAGTGAGGCAGGAGGGGGGAGAATGATTAAGAGGCTGCATCTGCTGCTGCTGCCCCTGCTGCTCGCACCGCTCCCGTTGCAGGTGCAAGCAGAAGCTTGCTGCTGCTGCCAGGGCCTCCTGGGGGTGTGGGAAGGCAGGGGAGGGGGGGGAAGGGATAGGGCATGGTGAAGTGGGGAGGGGGATGGGGGGACGGGGAAAATGAGTAGTGATGGGGACAAGTAAGATGCTCCTGCCACAGCAGCGGCCCCACGCCCTCCTTGCTCAGCAGCCGGCGAGCCCACTGGTGGATCTCCCTCCGCTGCTGCTGCCGCTGCTGCTAATACAGCCGCCGCTGCAGGCGTAAACAGTAGCTCGCTGCTGCTGCCAGGACCGCCTGGAGGAGAGGAGAGGGGATGGAAAAGGGGGGAATTTAAGGGGGAGAATGAGTAAGATGCTGCTGCCGCTGCTGCTCAATGCTCATACAGCCGCCGTTGCAGGCGAGAGCAGTAGGTCGCTGCTGCTGCCAGGGCAGCCTGGAGGAGAGGAGAGGGGAGAAGGGGGGCAAAGGGGGAAAAATACCTCGTCTTCCTTCTCACCTGCCTCTCAGGATCAAGCTCCCTTTACATATTCCCGCTTCACTACTCATCTTCCTTCTCCTCCCTCCCTCACACTCACCACATTCTGGCTGCCCCTTTCCTCCCACCCCTCATACTCAGCAACACTCCCTCCCCTCCCTCGCACTCACCATATTCTGCCAGTTCCTCTCCTCTGCCAAATCTTCCTGCAGCACCAGCATCGCCTGCACCTGCAGTTCGCACTCACCAAGCATTGCCTCCTCCACCCTTCCCCACTCCCTTCCCGCACTCACCATGTTCTGCCTGTTTCTCTCCTCTGCAGCCTCCTCTTGCAGCACCAGCATCGCCTGCACCTGCAAATCCCTGTTGCTCACAAGCGCCGCTTGAGTAGACCACGGGATCCCAGACAACTCCTCCATCACTGCCGCCACTGCCGGCACCATCTCTTCCTCCTCGCCCCTCTCGCCCCTCTCGCCTCTCTCACCCCGTTCACTTCTCTCCGAACCTACTGAGTCTGAGGCTACCAGATCCAGATCCCCATGGCTGTGCACCGAGCCTGCGTTGCTATGCACCGAGCCTGCGTTGCTATGCACCGAGCCTGCGTTGCTATGCACCGAGCCTGCGTTGCTGAGATCCAAGCCTGTAATGCTCTGTGCCGAGCCTGTGTGGCTGCGTGCCGAGCCTTCTGTCCTGCTAAGCTCGAGTCCTCCCCCTTCCAGTGCTGATGCAGGCTGGCTTAACTCATTCTCTCTATGCGCACTGCTGCTGCTGATGCCACGGCTGCTGCTGTCGCCCCGCCTGCTGCTGCCGCCACTGCTGATGCTCCTGCCACTGCCAACGCTGTTGCTCCAATCCAACTCCGCACCATCCAAACTCGCTGAAACACGTGAAGCGCCATCAGCAGCACCAACATCCCCTCGGCGAGTAGCATCCTGCATATCGGGAGCAACACCAGCAAGATCAGTAGCAAAACCACCACCAGCACCATCAACTCCAACTGCTCCCACCGCTTCCAACAACGCAGCAAGACCACTTCCGTCACTACTCACAGAGCCTCTCGCCCTTTCCGCCTGCTCCCCCTCCGTCTGCTCCCCCTCCTCCTGATCTCCGTGTGCCTGCTCCCCGTCTGCCTGCTCCCCCTCCGCTTGCTCCCCCTCCGCCTGATCCCCCTCCGCTTGCTCCCCGTCCGCCTGCTCCCCTTCTGCATGCTCTCCTTCCGCCAGCTCTTCCGCCTGCCCCCCTTCTGCCTGCTCCCCGTCCGCCTGCTGCCCTTCCGCCAGCACCCCTTCCGCCTGTTTGTGTTCGCCAGCCACATGAGCCAGTTCTACCCCCAGCACTCCACCAGCTACACCAACCTCTTCCAGCCCCCTCCCATTACCAGTGGTCCCTTCTTCCTGCTCCGCCCTGTCACCGCTGGTACCCGTTTCCTGCATCCCCATGACAGCACTGATACCCCCTTCCTCCTCCCCCTTGCCACTGCTTGTAGTAGCCGCTTCCTCCTCCCCTCTGCCACTGCTAGTAGTACCCGCTTCCTCCTCCCCCCCGCCACTGCTTGTAGTAGCCGCTTCCTCCTCCCCTCTGCCACTGCTAGTAGTACCCGCTTCCTCCTCCCCCCTGCCACTGCTTGTAGTAGCCCCCTCCTCCTGCCCCCCTTCACAGCTGGTGATGCCCCCTTCCGCCCCTTGCGCGTCCCCTTTCCCCTCTCCTGCCGATATATCCTCGCCACCTGCTGTTCTTGCCACATCGGCATCCAGCGCTGCTGACACGGCGGCCGTCGCTGCTGCCAGCTCAGCACTTTCCAGAACCTCACCTGATGGCAGAAGGGACAAGTCTCGGTTTCCAAGGTTAACTCCCCTACCCTCTCCCCCACCACCTCCCCTACCACCTGCCCTATCCCCTCCTCCATCTTTTCGCCTCGCCTCCGCTGTTGCTGCACCCGTTCTGTCTCCTCGCGCCCCCACCATCGCAACTCTCCCCTCCCTTCCGCCAGCACCCATTCCTCCTTCCCCTTTTCCAGACATGGGAGTCTGGAAAAGGCGTCCCTTGATCCCTCCTCCCCCTCCACCATGAGGTGTCTGGTATACACTCCCCCCTTGCCCTCTCCCCCCGGGAGTTTGATATTGGGGCCCTTCAAATCTCCCCCTCCCCGCTGCCTGCGGAACGCCTTTCGCAGCACTGGGGGCCGCGCGGAAACCTGCGCCGCCTGTTCCGCCTTTTCCGCCTGCCCCCGATGCGCCTCTTCCGCCAGTGCTGGCTCCGCTCACCAGCCCCGTGGTGGATCCGCCGCCTCTGCTGGCTCCCGCGCGGGATCCCGCGGAGGTTTGCGCGGGGGTGAGGCTCGCGCGGGGAGTGGCGGAAACTCGGCCTGTAACACTGCTGGCGCCGCCTCTGACGGCGCTTTTCGCGGCGGTTGATGGCGCGTGCATCGAGGAGAGACGCGTACCAGGAGTGGGGATCATGGAACCTTCGCGACGGGATGCTGCGGGAGTTTGCATGAAACGAGATTGGACTGTAACGAGAACGGAAAAAGGTGGGAGAAAATGAAGAGAAGGGAAAAGTAATGAGTTTGCGTCATACTGAGATTCGAGAGTAAAACCTTATCCAGATTCACGGATCCCTATGTCCATTTCATGTCAAACGAAACACGGAGTGTTTTTTACTGTAATGGGGTCCAGGTCAGTAATGGGGTACCAGGATTTGCCACGACGCTCGTGCCTTTCAATATTGCGATAAAAAAAGCTGGTCGTATCGGTATGTTGCCTTCGTGAATGCGTTCCCATTTCACCTTGAATTCCTGCCGCCTTCTTAGGAGCAGGAAGCTTGAACTCTGAGCTCGCATCTGTCGGCTGACCCGGAGGCGGATCCATGACAGGAAGAGAAACCGGAAAAAGAAACCGAGAAGAGAAAACCGTCGAAGTTAGACGTTTCCAGCGAAGCTCGCGTGAAACTCGTCGCCGCAAGGCTTTGAGAAATGGTCTAGACTCTAGATCACGCAGCTCCAGGCAGACGAGGCACTGATGGGAAAATATGTCGAGTCGAAGTGGTGTTGACAATGTTTGGTGTTGACGATGGATGGAGTGGCCGTATCGTATTATCTCGATGTCAGGCTGTATGATCCCGATGCGCGGCTGTATGATCTCGGGGTCAGACTTTCCCGCCAAAACTCGAACTTGAAATTGGGGTGGTTGAAGCAGCTGAGAGGATTCGAAGGGGACATTTCCCAGGCCAGAATGTCCGCGTTACACCTTGCAGGCCCAACTACTACACTCGTTAAAGAATGCTACAGTAGACTGGTAACTAATGTAAGGCCACTCTTAATATCTAGATTAGCAAGATCAGCCATTTAGTAGACATTCGGGCAAAAACGCACTCGCAAGTGCTATTGCCACAATTTCACGCATTTGTCATGGCTCGCAGACGCAACGAGCCCACGCGCTTGGGAATGTGCAAGTGCAGCGATAAGCCCATCGTGAGCCCCTTGCACAATCATGCTCTTGTTCTCCACCATGTTCCATAGCTCCAATGACTGGCAAGTGGAGGGGTAAGGAGGAGAAGGGGAGGAGGTTAGGGATTTGAGGAAGGAAGGGTGGAAGAATCATGCTCTCGTTCTCATTTTTAACATAAGTGCCCAAATCCCACCGTCCCTTCAACCTTCCCGCACACAACACACACACCCGCTCCCACGCACAGACCTGGTAGCAGCCGATGACGAGAAGAGAGGGGTACTTGGGGTGAAAGGTGCAGGAATGTCCACTGAAAGAAACGACCCTTGAGTAAACTACCACACAAGGCCCTATCCCTTCCACAACCCTCCCTGACTGACCTGGTAGCAGCCGATGACGAGCAGGGAGGGGTACTTGGGGTGGAAGGTGCAGGAGTGGAACTTGTTGCCGCTGCTGACCAGCTCGTGCACACACTCTCCCCCGTTGCCCGGCCCCAGCGCATACACTCGCACTGCATCCTCTGAAACAGATGCAATGAACTCTCCTGTGGCGTCCCAGCACACAGAATGCACTGGCTTGCTATGCCGTTGCTGGTGGTGGGGGGGGGATGGGAAGGGGGGAAGCGGGCGAAAGGTGATGGGGGTCGCAGGGAGGGTGAAAGGAGGAAGGCGGGTAGGGGGAAGGGAGGCGAGAAGGGGAAGCGAGTGGAGGGGATAAGGGAAAAGTGAGGGCGGTGTCGTTGAGAGGACTTGGAAGATGGGGGGAAAGGAGAAGGGGAGTGGGAAGAGGAAGGGGGGCTGAGAGCAAGGTGGCAAGCCAACGGGAAAGAGAAGGCAGGCAGAGCTTCTCACCTCGAGTGTGCGCAGGCAGGCCTCTGTCTCGACATCGAAGATAGAGACAACCGACTCCGCTGCTGCTGCCAGCAGCCGCCCCATGCGCGGCTGAAAGCGCACCTGCGTGGTGGCACCCTGGTGAGAAGAAAGGTTGGGAGTGGGGGCGGAACGGGAAACGCATGCGAAACACTGAATTTGCTGCTGCTGCTGCTGCTGCTGCTTGCAGGCGCCCCATGCGGGCTGAAAGCGCACTTGTGTGGTGGCGCCCTGGTGGGGGAGATAGGTTGGGAGGGGAAGAAGGGAGGGAGGGAGGTGAGGGAGGGATGGTCATAAAAGGCTCCAATACCTCATGTTTTGACTCAACACAAGAGCAGGTAATCCAAACTGCAGCTCACCTTGAAGACCCGGGTGCACATCTCTTGGTTGACACTCCAGTAGCGGATCTCCCCATCAGCGTCACAAGAGCAGAGCAAGTCCTCGTCCTCTGGATGGAAATCGAGGGACACCACGGACGTCATGTGCCCCGCTAGCGTGCGCAGCGGGAAGGCGGGCTGTAGGAAAAGGACAAAGAGAAGGAGGCAAAGGTAACGGAAAAATGGGTATGAGGTATGAGCATCGCAAGACCAGAACAAGTCCCCGTCCTCTGGGTGGAAGTCGGGAAGGTTGGCTGCAGCGATGGACACAATAGGGAAGAAGGATGCTAAATAAGAAGGCTTTTACAGGAATCTGGAGAAGGAAAAGGAGAGTGAGCACTTCAGAGCATCACAGGCAAGAAACATGATCGATTTGCTCTGTGTGCGTATGCGTATCACGCGTGTGTGCCCTGCGTGTGTGCCAGTAGCGCTACCAAAAGAGCACGCTAGCGACGTATCACAAAAAGCGACGCACGTACGTTGTCAATGTCCCACACGCGCACGGTCTTGTCAAAGGATGACGTGGCGACACGTGGCAGGCTGGGGCTGAACCGCACGTCCGTGATGAGCAGCGAATGGCCCTCCAGCGTGGCGCGCATGGAGAGGGAATCCATCTCCCACAACACAGCCTGGGGTTGGGAGCGTTGGGGTGGGGGGCGGAGGGGGGAATCAGGAGTCTTGACATAGAGCGGGTGTTCACTGTGATGAGCAGCGAGTGGCCCTCCAGCGTGGCGCGCATGGAGAGGGAATCCATCTCCCACAGCACAGCCTGTTGCGGGGAAGGCAAAAGAGGAGAGGGAGGGGATGGGAGGTGAGGGGGGAACAGGGTGCAGCAAAAAGGGGCGGTGAGTGGCCATCCAAGGTGGCGCGCATGTAGAGAGAATCCATCTCCCACAGCACAGCCTGGGGTTGGGTGGGGAATGGATGGGGTGAGGTAGAGGGGAGTACGGGAGTGGTGGGGTAGGGATGGGTGGAGTGGGGTGGTGTGGAGAAGTGCGTATGTGAGTTGTGATCTTTCGGTAAGGTCTGGTGGTTCTGGTTGACACTGCCTGTCATCATCACGGCCGGCATCCACCGTCCTCACCTGCACTGCGCACTCACCACCGTCTTATCATGCCCAGCGCTGGCAGTCAGCTTGCTGTCCTGGGAGAAGTGGCTGGCAGCGCACCACACACTGTATCATCACGGCTGGCATTGGTTGTCCTCATCTGCACTGTGCACTCACCGTCTTATCATGTCCAGCGCTCGCAAGCAGCTTGCCGTCCTGGGAGAAGTGGCAGCACACCACCTTGGTGGAGCTGGCCCGCAGACACCCGTACTCCGTGAAGGAGAAACCTGCAAAGGGGGGGTGCAGCAAGCATGGCATGTCATGGAAAAAGGGAGTACGGGTGGGAGGAGTGCAGAGAGAACAGATAAGTTTCATGAAGCAGTGTGGGAGAAGTGGCTGCACACGACCTTGGCGGAGCTGGCTCTCAGACACCAAAATCGTGTGCTGCCACATACCTCAGACACCCGTACTCCGTGCAGGAGAAACCTGCGGAGGGTTGGAGGGAGGAGATGGGAGGAGTGGAGGGCACAGAACATCCCCCTACATTCCCCCCCTACATCCCCCCCCTCCCCTCTCCCTCTCAACCGCCCCACCTTTCCCGTCCATGCTCCCCATGCTGCCACCCCCTCCCCCTCTCCCATTTTCCCCCTCCCCCGCGCACCTTTCCCATCCATGCTCCCCAAGCTGCTACCCCCTCTCCCCATTCCCCCCTCCCCCCTCCCCCCACCCCCCCCTCCCCCCTCACCTTTTCCGTCCATGCTGCCCATGCTGCTGCGCTTGCCCGTACAGAACAGCGGCTCGCGGCCATCCCCATCATCAGTGGACAGGAACGAGTCCACATTGTCGTCCAGCGACCCATCATCGCCCACCCCCACCCCAAACCGCTCCAGCTCCACCAGCTCGTTTCCCACATTGCCTGGGGATGGCTCGCCTGAGAGGGTCCCTTCCATGCCGAAGCTCGTCGGGAGGGGCGGGACGAGTGGGGGAGGTAGCATCTGGGGGAGGGAGGATCCTAGCTGGGGGCTCTGCTGCTGCTGCTGTTGCTGCTGCTGCTGCTGCTCCTCCTGCTGCTTCTGCTGCTCGGCTGCCGCTTGCTGCTGATGCTGCTGCTGCTGCTGCTGCTGCTGCTGCTCTGCCTGTGCCTGTGGGTGAGGCTCAAGCTTCACAGCCCCTGCTGCAGCACCCCCATCTACACCAGCAGCACCAGCACCAGCAGCGCCACCAGCGGTACCAGCAGCCCCATCACCAGCAGTACCACCAGCAGGAGGAGTCCCGGCACCACCACCACCACCAGCAGTGGCAGCAGCGGCAGTGGCAGCGGCAGTGGCAGTGGCAGTGGCAGGGGTGCCGTTGCTGGTGGCTGGGCCTGACGATCCCGGCTGCTTCCTCTTCCGCCCCAGCCTTCCCCCCTGGCCCCTCTGTTTAGCACAGGGGTTGCAATACGGAGGCAAGCAATAAGGGAAGGGAAAGAGGGGAGATTGTCAGAAGAACAGCAGTGGCAGTGGCAGCAGCAGTGGCAGGGGTACCGTTGCTGGTGGCTGGGCCTGATGACCCCGGCTGCTTCCTCTTTCGCCCCAGCCTTCCCCCCTGGCCCCTCTGCTTGCCACAGGGGGGTTGAAACACGGAGCAGGCGAGAGGGGAGGGGAGAGAGGGAGGGATTCTCAGAAGAAAAGCAGTGCCAGCAGAACGACACGCAACAGAGCAAAGCAGAAACTTATTTTCAAGGAAAAAAGCACAAAGGAGTGGGGGCGAGGGGGGTGGGGGGGAGGGGGGAGGGTCGAGGGGGGTGGGGGGGGGCGAAGGAATAAAGCTTCATGGAGCTTATTCAGCAAGGCAAATTCAGTAAGAAAGCACCCTGCAGCTGCAGCGCTCAAAGTGCCTACCTTGGTGACAGTGCCTGTGCTGGTGATGCTGGGTGCGGGCTCCATGCCACTGAGAGAGCCCAAACCAGAGGGCGCTTGCTCTGTGTTTCACTACTAAACGCACAGCACCGCTCTGCACATCTATCCAAACCCAACTGCTGACCAAGGCACCTACCTTGGTGACGGTGCCTGTGCTGGTGATGCTGGGTGCAGGCTCCATGCCACTCAGAGAGCCCAAACCAGAGGGCAAAGCGCTGTGTTTCACTCACAAACGCAAAGCACCGCCCTGCACATCTATCCAAACCCGACTGCTGACCAAGGCGCCTACCTTGGTGACAGTGCCTGTGCTGGTGATGCTGGGTGCAGGCTCCATGCCACTCAGAGAGCCTAGAAGGTGCTCAGCACACGTACCTTGGTGACAGTGCCTGTGCTGGTGATGCTGGGTGCGGGTTCCATGCCACTCAGAGAGCTCTGCTCCCCTGCAGCTCCCCCACCACCCCCTCCACCCCCTCCACTTCCGCCATTCCCACCCCCAGCTCCCCCCCACCCACCACCACCACCAGCAGCAGAACCAGGCACACCCATCTGCTGCTGCTGCTGCTGCTGCTCTTGCTGCCCCTGCATACTCCCCCCCTGCTGCTGCCCCTGCCCCTGCCCCTGCCCCTGCCCCTGCCCCTGCCCCTGCCCTTGTCCCTGCCCTTGCCCCATCCCCTGCCCCTGTTGCTGCTGCCCTGCTGCTCTCACTGGTCCGCCCATGCTGCCCTGCCGTCCTATCCCCCCCTGATGCCCATCCTGCTGCATGTGCTGCCCAGGTGCCCCCATCACCTGCTGCTGCTGTTGCTGCTGCTGCTGTTGCTGTTGCTGCTGTTGTTGCTGTTGCTGTTGCTGCTGTTGTTGCTGTTGCTGTTGCTGCTGCTGCTGCAGTAGCAGCTGCTGGTGTTGCTGCAACAGCAGCAGCTGCTCCTGCTTCACCTGCGCGCCCATCAGACCCCCCATGGCCCCCTGTGCGCCCATGGCCCGTGCTCGTTGGGCTTGCAGCTGGGGGAACCAATGTCACAGGAAACAGAGCGGGCAATACAGAAGTGAGAGGGGGTGTCAATGGGAGCAAGTAAGGAGAGAACAATTGCTGTGCGCCCATCAGCCCCCCCATGGCCCCCTGTGCGCCCATGGCCCGCGCTCGCTGGGCTTGGAGCTGCGGGAAACAAACAATTACACAGAAAACAGCACATGGAGCGAGCAGGGGGGCACACAAGTGAGATTGAGCACGTCGATCAGCCCAGGTAAGGGCAAGACAGCTGCTGCGCGCCCATCAGTCCCCCCATGGCCCCCTGTGCGCCCATGGCCCGTGCTCTTTGAGCTTGCAGCTGAGGGAAACAATATCACAAGCGAAAGGGACACACACAAGGAAACACGAGCATGACTATCAGCCCAGGACATGCACCAACCAACTGCACCCTTGCTACTCTCAATTCGAGAACCATCTGCTGCTGCTCCTAAGGCGAGAACACTTAGCACCCACCCACCCACCCACCCACCCACCCACCCACCCACCCACCCACTCCTACCTCCCTGCTCACCTTGAGAATCATCTCCTGCTGCTCCTGAGGCGACGCCCCTCGACTGAGAGCAGCAGCAGCCGCCACAGCAGCAGCACCAGACGGCAGCATGCCAGCAGGAGACCCCACACTGGGCGACCCACCCCCCTCCTCCCCTCCTCCCTTCCCCCTCGCCCGCGCCCTCCACCCCCCTTCCCCCCCCCCCCCCCCTATTGCTGCCGCTGGTGCCATCGCAGCTGCAGCAGCAGGGTTCCCACCCACCGACCCACCCACTCCTCCCTTCCCTGCTCACCTTGAGAATCATCTCCTGCTGCTCTTGAGGCGACGCCCCTCGACTGAGAGCAGCAGCAGCCGCCACAGCAGCAGCACCAGACGGCAGCATGCCAGCAGGAGACCCCACACTGGGCGACCCACCCCCCTCCTCCCCTCCTCCCTTTCCCCCCGCTCCCGCCGCTGCCGCTGCTGCCATCGCCGCTGCAGCAGCAGGGTTCCCAGCTACCCCCTTACTCAGTAGCTGCCTTAGCTGCCGGTTTTCCATTTCTGTTGCCATACCCGCCCCGAATCCCACTAACGACGTCCCTCCTGCTGCCCGCCCCGGCAGATTTCCACCCAAACCCACCCCCCCGCTCGCCGCCCCAGCTCCCCCTCCCCCTCCCCCTTGCATTCCCCCTGCTGCGCCCGCCCCTGCTGCTCCCCCTGCTGCGCCCCCTGCGCCTCCCCCTGCGCCTGCTAGCCCTGCTAGCGCGCCTGCGTTGGTGATGAGGCCCTGAGCCTGCGCCTGCTGCAGCAGGTGCTGCTGCTGTATGGGCGAAAGCATCTGGTACTGGGGCGAGTTGAACAGACGTGCGATCTGAGGGATGGTGGTGGGGGGATAGGGGGATAGGCAAAGGAAAAACGATCACTGAGGTGATTCTGAGCCTGCGCCTGCTGCAGCAGGTGCTGCTGCTGTATGGGCGAGAGCATCTGGTACTGGGGCGAGTTGAAGAGACGCGCGATCTGGCGGATGATGGTGGGGAGGGGACGGGCGTGGTGCGGGGAGGCAATAGAAAGGGGGTTAGTGAGGGGAGTTTTACGGCTGTGCCTGCTGCAGCAGGTGCTGCTGCTCTATGAAGGACAGCATCTGGTACTGGGGCGAGTTGAACAGACGCGCGATCTGAGAGGGGGACCAGGGGAGAGGATGAGGTTGGAGGTACAGCGCACCAAGGGTGACGTCCCTGATGTCTTGATCCCTTAGATCCGCAGATCTCGTCTCCAGCTTAGTGAGCGTTTCCGCTCCGACTTCCCTGTCCTGCGTCTGCACTCTGACAGAGGTGGTGAGTTTTCCTCTGGCCTCTTGGAGGCCTTCTGTCAGCAGGAGGGCATTGAGCAGTCGTTCACGCTTCCGGCCTCTCCACAGCAGAATGGGGTTGCTGAGCGCCACATTGGCTTGGTCATGGAGGTCGCTCGTACCTCCTTGGTTCATGCGGCTGCCCCCCACTTTCTGTGGCCGTTTGCAATCCGATACGCTGAGCATCAGCTCAACCTCTGGCCCCGTGTCTCCTTGCCCGAGACTTCTCCGACACTGCGTTGGACGGGAGAGGCTGGCGATGCATCGCGTTTTCGGGTCTGGGGATCCCGAGCTTTTGTCCGCGACACGTCCGCGGACAAGCTCTCCCGTCGCGCTGTCCCCTGCGTCTTCCTTGGCTTTGTCCCGGACGCCCCTGGTTGGCAGTTCTACCACCCCACCTCGCGGCGTGTCCTGGCCTCTCAGGACGTCACTTTTGACGAGTCCGTCCCCTACTACCGCCTCTTCCCCTACCGCACTGCCCCGCTCCCCCCCCCGCCTCTCTTCCTCGCTCCAGGTGCTGAGGTACCAGACCCCCTCCCCCCTCAGGGTGCCGCTCCCTCAGGTGTGTCCCAGGTAGACCCGGGTGAGCCTGTCGAGGTAGCTGTTGACTCTCGTCCTGCTAGGGGTGCTGAGCCTGGGGGTGCTGCGTCTGGGGGTGCTGAGCCTGGGGGTGCTGCGTCTGGGGGTGCTGAGCCTGGGGGTGCTGCGTCTGGGGGTGCTGAGCCTGGGAGTGCTGAGTCTGGGGGTGCGGAGCCTGGGGGTGCTGAGCCAGGAGGTGCGGAGCCTGGAGGTGCGGAGCCTGGAGGTGCTGAGCCTGGGGGTGCTGAGTCTGGGGGTGCTGAGCCTGAGCGTGCTACACCTGGAGGAGCCCTCTCCTCCCAGCAGCTGCAGGAGAGGTACCTCGAGTACTGCCGCCTCCGGAGAGGTGCTGCTGGAGCTCGTCCCGGTGCTTCCCCTCCTACCCAGGAGCTCCCCCCCATTCAGCAGATCCGCGAGTGGTACACACGGCGCTGCAGTCTTTGGAGTGGTGCTCCTGGTGCTGCGGACCCGCCTGGTGGAGCTGCTGCTGGTGCTGAGGACTCGGACGTTGGAGCTGCTGCTGGAGCTGAGGACCCGGGCGGTGGCGCTGCTGCTGGTGCTGAGGACCCGGACGATGGAGCTGCTGCTGGTGCTGAGGACTCGGACGGTGGAGCTGCTGCTGGAGCTGAGGACCCGAGCGGTGGCGCTGCTGCTGGTACTGAGGACCCGGGCGTTGGAGCTACTACTGGTGCTGAGGACCCGGCCGGTGGAGCTGCTGCTGGTGCTGTGGACCCGGACGCTGGAGCTCCTACTGGTACTGAGGACCCGGCCGCTGGAGTCTCCTCTGCTTCTGGAGACGCTGCGCGGCCGCGACCGTACTTCGTCCCGCTCCTTCTGGTACTGAGGGAGCTGAAAAGGCGAAGGAGGGGGGGGAGGAGGCAGGCCTGGGGAAGGAGGCAGGACTGAGGGAGCTTATTGAAAGGCCTGCAGGCCAGTGGCAGTTCATCTGCAGCAGCGGAGGGTGTAGAGGTAGCGTACTCACTCACCACGCTCTACTTCACAGTTCCTCTCTCAACCGCACAACGACCTAGAAGCTGGGGGCGTACCGAAAGGCCTGCGGGCCAGTTGCCCTTCATTTGCTGCAGCTGAGTGTGTAGGAGCAGAACACTTCCACCACACTCAACAGCACAGAACCCCTCTCAATCTCACAAGCTAAAGGTGGGCTGGGGGCGTACCGAAAGGCCTGCGGGCCAGTTGCCCTTCATTTGCTGCAGCTGAAGGTGTAGAAACATTGCACTTTGCCACACTCAATTGCACAATACCCCTCTGAATCTCACAACTAGAGAGCGCGGTGGGGGCTTACCGAAAGGCCTGCGGGCCAGTTGCCCTTCATTTGCTGCAGCTGAAGGTGTAGAAACATTGCACTTTGCCACACTCAATTGCACAATACCCCTCTGAATCTCACAACTAGAGAGTGCGGTGGGGGCTTACCGAAAGGCCTGCGGGCCAGTTTCCCTTCATTTGCTGCAGCTGAGCCGACCTTGCAGCTGATGATATGCCTGGCGGGAATGAACACCAGGGAGGGGACGGGAGGGAAGAAGTGTGGAGGGGAGTGGGGAAAAAAGGAGGGGTGGAAAAGTGATACAGCTGATGATGTGCCTGATGTGCGAAAAAACATGGGGAGGGGCGGAGGAGCAGAGGGGGGCAGGTGATGATGTGCCTCGAGTGAGCGGAACCAGACCGAAGGAGGGGGGGAGGGGGGAAGGGGAGGGAGAGGGGAAGTGTGGGGAGGGAAGGGTGAATACGAACGATGGAGCGAGCAAGAGAGGAAAGAGAGGACGAGAGGAGAGACTGTGTGCGCGAGGAAAGAGAGGACGAGAGGAGAGACTGTGTGCGCGCGAAAAAGAGTGAGAATAAGATGGGGGGGTGAAGAAAATCGAAGCAATTCAGGGATACCACCTTGCCGAGAAGGAAACCCCCTTGGGTTGAAGGGAGCCTCGTGAAGGGAGCCTTATCAACTGCGTCAAGGAAGGCTTGTCAAGTCATTTCAAGTCAAGTCAAGCCCACCTTGTGCCATGGACGCGAGTGCATTGTCCGATATGGCCGAACCCACCCGCCCTGACATGACAGCATGCACGTCTGCCTTGCTCTCCTGCTCGCACAGAGTGGGCACGGCGAGTTGGTTACAGCAGCTTCTAAGAATCGAGGAAATGGGAGTTTATGCTCGAAACACTAATTGCTAGCTTCTCCAACATGACCGTGTGCTGTGCACACATCTGCATTGCTCGACTGGTTGCACAGGGGATGAAGCAGCGTGACAAGACATGGGGCTGGAGCGAGAAAGGAGAAACAGACACACAGCGATGAGGGGGAGGTGAAGAGATTGGGTAAAGGGAAGAGAGGGGCTGCACCTGGCTAACACTAGGGGATGCAGCTCCAGCTGGGGGCATCATTTGCTGCTGCTGCTGTTGCTGTTGCTGTTGTTGCTGCTGCTGTTGCTGTTGCTGCTGCTGTTGCTGTTGCTGCTGTTGCTGCTGTTGTTGCTGCTGCTGCTGTTGCTGCTCGTGCTCCTGCATCTGGTGCTGCTGCTGCAGTTGTTGCAGTTGCTGCTGCAGCTGCTGCAGAGGCAGCTGCGGCAGCCCCTGGGACTGAGACTGTGACTGCGCTGGCTGCTGCTTCTGCTGCTGCTGCTTCTGCTGCTGTTGCTGCTGCTGCTGCTGCAAATGCTGTTGCTGCAGGGACTGTTGGGACATGCCTGCGGCGTTGCCAACAGTCGCCAGGTGCCTATAAAGACAACAGCAGAGGGTGAGACGTAACAAGAGAAAGAGGCGAGTTCAGTGTGGGCGCAGCAGGAAGGGGGAAGCAGAGAGCATGTGAGGGAGGACGCAAGGAGTGGTGACATGAAGGGAGAAGAAGTGCAGAAGGTTCAAGGAAGCGCAGGTGGTGTGATGAACGATTGGAAGTAGTGGGAGGGGAAGAACGTGGGTGGCAAAAGGAAAGGGGGGGAAGAGAAAGGGAGAGCTTACCTCTGCTCAGTATAGGTGATTGTCGGTCGTGAATTCAACATGAGCCGTACGCGCATGCAATGCACACATGCGACACAAACATGGAATGCACACAAATATGTCATGCACGCATGCCACACACACATGTCATGCACACAGACCACACACACATGTCATGCACACAGGCCACACCCACATGGCACACGCGCATCCCACACACACATGGCACACGCGCATGCCACACACACATGGCACACGCGCATGCCACACACATGGGCCATGGCACACGCGCATGCCACACACATGGGCCATGGCACACGCGCATGCCACACACATGGGCCATGGCACACGCGCATGCCACACACATGGGCCATGGCACACGCGCATGCCACACACATGGGCCATGGCACACGCGCATGCCACACACATGGGCCATGGCAGACGCGCATGCCATGCACACAAGCCACACAGACATGGCACAGACACACATAAGTCAGACGTAAGGGGCAGATAGAGGAAGAAGGACAGGGCACGTGAGGGGTGCACGCGAGTGGTGAATGAGGGCGCTGGAACACTGACCAATAGCACATTTCAGCAGAGGTGAAAGGAGGCCGGAACCGTGGGTCTCAGCTTCGATCCAGAAACACAGCAACCTACTGTGCACCCACCCCAAACGCACCTATCAACCCCTGTAGACTACGAAATTACGTGCAGGGGTTGATGGCCAATATCTATGTCTCTTCCTCTCACCCTGAGAGCAGCCTCGTCCATGCTCGCCCCGCTCTCCGCCCTGGCCAGCTGCGCCTGCTTCAAGACCTGTACATTACGAACCCACTCACATCCCTCTGGCTGTGCATTACCAACCCACTCACATCCCTCTGCACCGTACTCACCCTGAGAGCCGCCTCGTCCATGCTCGCCCCACTCTCCGCCCTGGCCAGCTGCGCCTGCTTCAGCCGCTCCTCATACAGCCGGCTCGCCAGCACGCCACTCGCCGCCTGCCTCAACCCCGCCTCCCCCGCCACCCCTCCCGCCACGCCGTTCGCTGCTCCGTTCCCCCCCAGCCCCGCCAGCTGCCCCGCCTCCCTCCGCTGCTGCTGCAGCTGCCGCTGCTGCAGCTGCATTTGCAGCTGCTGTAGTTGCAGCTGCTGCTGCTGCTGCTGCTGCTGTTGCTGAGAAGAAGCTGCGGGTTGTGGTGGCGGTGGCGGGGGGGTTGGATGCGACGCTGCCTGCTGCTGCGGCTGCTGGGAGGGGGGCTGCATCTGCGACTGCTGCTGCTGCTGCTGCTGCTGCTGGTGAAGGCTCTGAGCTTGCTGCTGTTGCTGCTGCATTCCCGGAACCACAGACTGGGGCAGTTGCTGATCATCCTGCTGCATTGGATCCTCTCTCCCCTGCTGCTGCTGCGGCTGCTGGTTCAATTGTTGCGGGGTCACGGCCTGCTGGGTTGCCTGGTGAGGGGATTGCTGGATGGCACCACCGCCCAGCTCTTGCTTCAGCTGCTGCCTCTGCTGGGCCCTCTGCTGCCGCTGCAGCTCCCTCGCTTTGATCTGCTGAGTCTGGACTCAGGAAACATCGAAAGATTAAAAAGGGAAAATCAGCGTTGACAGCAGAAGCAGTTTCGAGGGCAGGGGGGCAGTTTGCTGAAAGAAGGCGGCACAGTTTCCCGGTTTAGCGGCTAAACCATTAAAAAAAAGGGAGGAGTTGAGAGCTCGCCAGCTTGACTGGGTTGGTTCTATGTTCGGCCAACCCCCCTGGAACTTCCAAGAATACCTCGATATAGGAAGCCGCGACTTCAGAATGCTTTTCATTTGTCCGTGCGATAAATATGTCCCAGAAGACCGACCACCACTCGAAAAGGAAACCCCCAGGAGCATTTATGGCTGCAAACAGGAAGGAGTTAATCAAATGCGTGTAAGAGAAGAGAGCAGGACGCAGCAAAATAAAATCGTTAGAAAGACATTGGTAAGACAAGGAAGAGCGACGAAGAATTAACGGAGGACGGAGCCGTACCGACGGGGTCTGACGAGACTTTCGCCTCGGCGAGAAACGTCTCAGCGGATTTCGGTAGGCCTCGCTTGCACAGGTAGTCGTAAATGTACACATCCAGCCTGTATGCAGTAACCGGGTAACCAGGATAAGCGAGCAAAATATGCAGGAAAATAAGGATCTTGGCTGGTCATGTTTGCAGCTGAAGCCCAAATATACACACTGAAATAATCAGAAGGGGTTTGTCGCCGGCTGATAAGGGATCGAGAAAATAAGAAAGTGGAGATATTGAGTAGACAGGAGAAAGTAAAACAAAAGAAATCGCGGCGATGACGAAGACAACAAAAATCATCGTTTTTTAAAGAAACGAAAACGCAATGGCAAGGAGCGGGGAGACTGATGGCTTCAGAATAAGGAAGCCTGCTTCAGCGAACGCCTTCTCCAATGTTCCGGACGCAATGAGATCATGTTGCGGACTTCCGGACATGATGATTGAAACTCCGACGCGAGAGAGCGTAAGTATCAGCTGCGCCTCCAGCGCAGACGTTCGCAATGTTCCACGCATACTAATGTATGGGACCTAGGGTCTGAAACACGTACATTTTGTCGGCTTCCCAGCTGTTGTGTGCCATAGTCCGATTCCGTGAAAAAAACGACTCGCTTGAGAACTTATCACTGCCAAAACTCTCAATTTACGTCATGCGAAGACCTAAGCCAGACAATTACTATGCACAAGCTTCTGATCACATTGTCAACTTAGCAGCAACGGGCCATCTCCGCTAGCGTCAAGAAACAAAGTCAGCACATCGCCCCACGTGTGCCGCCTGTAACAGAACTCCCCTGACGCTGCGAGAGCGAGAAAATGCACCCTAGAAAACTGTTGCTTGCAAGCTGCAAGGTTCGGTTGTTCCCCTCCAGATTATTGCTTGACCTGTCTCTCTTCTTGCTTGACCTGCAGTCCAGCACACAACAGGCTTCCTCAAACCTGTCCGGAACAAGGCAAAGATGCAAAGAAGATCAGGGTTCGGTGCGGTTCTGCAATATTTAGTGTGTTCCAGATTGGTTCTTGCTTTGTTCTGTGCAGCACCTTGGGTGCTTCTCTGGTGTAGGCAGCAGCACCACCAAAATGGACGACAGCCAGCCACTGGCGGTCGACTTGGCTGCTGCCCAAACGCCCTCCTCCCTCCCCCTCCCTTCCACCTCCTCCCCGCACACGCTCCTCAGAACCTAGCACAAGCCAGGCTCGACACACGGCCCCTTCAGCCAACTTGCGGACGTCTCAACTTCCAAACCTAGCCATGTGGTGCGGCTTTGCAGACACGCAGCCGAACTTATCCTGCCCCGAACATGTCCCCAAACAGAATCCCAGGTTGCGTATCTTGCCATGCCTGAACCGTGCCTATGATGTTTCCCAACGTGATATTTCCCAAACCTCTCCATACCCACCTCCGAACGCGAGTTGCGCATGTCGTGCGGCGTGGTTCGCTATTGCCAGGCATCGCCAATAAATATTGTAACAAGCCAGACTATTTAACAATAGGGTAAGAGAATGTTATGCACAGGCATTATAGACGTGAGAGCTAATGATATACCAAACCATGCTACAGATTAGAGACCAGCGTGTCATCTCTATGGCCACTCTACTACCTAATGCCTACATTCATGAGGGAGACGGATGTTAATACCGTGCAGATTATCAAGCTTACAGCACCACCGTCCTATTTGCCACACACCCATTGTGCCTGGTAAATGCCTGTCGTGCTGGCAAGTAATACCCTATGACATGCAATGCGCACATTTCGCGCATGGAACTGCTGTCATACACAAATTCCCTAACAAGCAGCTAGAACTGGGTGAGAGGAACACGCTCTTCCTCCCCAAGCTCAACCGCATCCTCTGCGCTAGGCTGCTGCCCATGCCCGTCGTGCCGGCCTGACTCCTTGAGTCCTTGCGAGTAATCCAGGTATGTGTTGAGGAAGAAGATTGGCACGAGCATCACGATGAAGATGTACACAAAGGCGGGCCGGATCTTCCCCGTGAACTGCATCAAGGCCAGAAAAAAAACACGACCAAACATTCGCGAAAAACCGTCAGCCACATGATGAAGCGCGACACGAATCGAGAGCAAAGGGCACGAGCACAAGGCTGCGAAATCTGAAGGGCGCACATGGTGAATGAGATAGAAAATGGTGTGCGTGTTTGTCGAGGAAAGGGGAATGGGGAAGAGGTAAAGTGGGAGGAGGCAAAGGGAGGAACGAGTGACAATCGTACTGGGTCTTGAAGGTTGCGAGCGCAAAAACATCTCAAGCCTGCTCACCTGAGCAATAGCCGCCACTACGAAGGGCCCGAGCCACGAGCTGCCTTTGTCGCTGATGGCATAGAGCGAGAAGAAGGCGCCCTCACGGCCCTTGGGAATGAGATCCACAAACAGCGTGCGCGAGTACGAGATCAGCGGGCCCAGGCAGAACCCAAACCACCCCGAATACGCAAACAGCTCCCACGACGCCTTCAGCCCGAGCCCGCCGTCCGGGGTGAAATACCCTAGCAAGCCCCACAGCGGCAATGGCAGCATGGCTGTCAGCAGCGCTACGACCATCGTCTTGTTGTTCCATGCGAGCCGCTTCTGCAGGTGGTAAGCCAACGGCATCCCGAGTGCGGCCCAGAAGGAGACCGAGGTGGCAATGACTGCGAGCATTGCTGGTTCCACACAGAGGTCATGCTGCCCAAACAGCACCCCGACTTGAATCACAGTGGAGAAACCGTCCGCGTAGATAAAGTAACACAGCATGAAGACAAACGCGTTGCGGTACCGCCGCGCCTCGGACACCAGCGCGCCCATGTGCCGCCAGCTGGCGACGATGGTCAGGGCGGCGTTGCCTCCCGCGGTGGCGGAGGCGGGCGGCGGCGGGCCCGGGCGGGTGCGGAGCCAGAGGAAGGTGAAGACGGAGAAGACGAGCCACCAGAAGCCGCAGAAGGCTCCCGCGAGGCGCATCTTGAGCAGGTCGGTGGTGGCGGCGAGCGTGATGACAAAGGCGGCTAGGGTCGCCACCACGTCTGCTAGACAGCCTGCTGCCAGGCCGATGAGAGATATGCGGTTCTCAACCTGAGAGGGGGAGGGGATGGGAGATGGTAGGTGGAGAGAGGAGGGAGGGAACAAACGATGACCACAAATGGAAGGCAGATGCCACGCCTATTTTTGAGACGCCGGAAACGATAGACTCCGAACCCCTCGCCCTTACCCCACACTCCTCCTTACCCCTCCCCCTACCCCACACTCACCCTTACCCCTCCCCCTTACCCCTCACTCACCCTTACCCCTCCCCCTTACCCCTCACTCATCCTTACCCCTCCCCCTTACCCCTCACTCACCCTTACCCCTCCCCCTTACCCCTCACTCATCCTTACCCCTCCCCTTTAACCCTCACTCACCCTTACCCCTCCCCCTTACACCTCGCACGTATCACCCACCTGCTCCCGGATGGACGCAATCTTCTCCTTGTCGCCTGACACCTCAGCATGCATCACTGCTGGCGTGGCATCCACCAGCACAGGCAGGTAGCTGCCAGCAGGGCGGAATTGGGGCATTGCGGGACAAGCATTAGGGCCATTGGCAGGAGAGGGGAGGTGAGGAGATGCAGGCAATTCCCAGTGGAGAGCTGTGAGGCGTCAGAAGCGGCAGTCACTACCAGCAGGGCGGAGTCGGGGCAGCATGGGATGGAAAAGGAACGGGGCCATTGGCAGGAGAGGGGAGGTGAGGAGATGCAGGCAATTCTTGGTGATTGAGGGTAGGGACGGGCAAGAGAGTAGAGACAAGGAAGGTTAAGGCAAGGGCAACAAGGATCATGCCAGCAACGAGTTGATAGCCGAAGGAAAGCAATCTACGAAGCCTAGTCCATGCTGCCATGCTCCTTGCATACTTTTGAGAATTCTCTTTTGAGAATCACTTTTGAGAATTCTCAAAGGTGATTCCCAAATTGCATACCTTTGAGAATTCTCAAAAGTGAGTTGAGGGCCGAAGGAAAGCAATCTACGAAGCCTAGTCCATGCTGCCATGCTCCTTGCATGCACGCATGGGTGAAGTGTGATCAAGTGGCTGACAGCTTTTCCATACACGTTATACAGTTGCTTCTATCGCACCTGTTGTAGCTGACGGTGCAGAGGCCGTAGCCGACGTTGGCAATGATGACGAGCAGGCCAGCGAACCACCAGTAGGAGCTGTCGCCCAACACACCGATCACAATGGAGGGGACCACGCCGATCAGCGTTCCCACCTTGAGCAGCTGCAGAGGGGGGAAGGGGGATGGAAGGGTGGATAACAGTAGGGGAGTGTGGAGGGAGGGAGGTAAGGATGGTGACTTTCAGCCGTAGCTATGATGGATAGGACCCCACCTTCTTAAAACTCATTTCCCAACACAAATAATCCCGCTACTCACGTCCATGTGGCCGAGACCACTTACAAACGAACCCAAAGTCACAAAACCCAGACTCACGTCCATGCGGCCAGTGCCGAAGTCCGTGAAAGGGCCAAAGGAGATGAGCGCAATCACTTGTGTCGTGAGCCACTCTCGACACTTGACCGAGAGCATTTACAACCACCCAAGACCCACACACTCTGAATCCCGCCACTCACGTCCATGCGGCCAGTGCCGAAGTCCGTGAAAGGGCTAAAGGAGATGAGCGCAATCACTTGTGTCGTGAGCCACTCTCGACACTTGACCGAGAGCATTTACAACCACCCAAGACCCACACACTCTGAATCCCGCCACTCACGTCCATGCGGCCAGTGCCGAAGTCCGTGAAAGGGCCAAAGGAGATGAGCGCAATCACTTGTGTCGTGAGCCACTCTCGACACTTGACCGAGAGCATTTACAACCACCCAAGACCCACACACTCTGAATCCCGCCACTCACGTCCATGCGGCCAGTGCCGAAGTCCGTGAAAGGGCCAAAGGAGATGAGCGCAATCACTTGTGTCGTGAGCCACTCTCGACACTTGACCGAGAGCATTTACAACCACCCAAGACCCACACACTCTGAATCCCGCCACTCACGTCCATGCGGCCAGTGCCGAAGTCCGTGAAAGGGCCAAAGGAGATGAGCGCGAGCACTTGGCAGATGACAGCGATGCCGATGATGATGGTGGCGTACGACACGGGGTTCACGGCCAGCGGGCCCGCATGCACCATGGGCAGAATCAGGTCCTGGTACCTGCCAGGGGGAATGGGGGTTGGGGGGGGAGCGAAAGGAAATGTTAGTCTCAGAGACTTATCAGAATCCAGCAATTCCGATGATGATGGTGGCGTACGACACGGGTTTCACGGCCAGCGGGCCCGCATGCACCATGGGCAGAATCAGGTCCTGGTACCTGCCAGGGGGAATGGGGGTTGGGGGGGGGAGCGAAAGGAAATGTTAGTCTCAGAGACTTATCAGAATCCAGCAATTCCGATGATGATGGTGGCGTACGACACGGGGTTCACGGCCAGCGGACCCGCGTGCACCATCGGCAGAATCAGGTCCTGGTATCTGATGGTAGGGGGACGGGGGGATGTTGGTCTTAGATTCTTCTCAGAATACAGATGACAGCGATGCCTGATGATGGTCGTGGCGTATGGCACGGGGTTCGTTTCGTGGCCGTGCATGGTTCGAACTTTCAAGAACGTTGCTAGAATGTCTGGTGTTTGGTTGGTTCAAATGTCATTCAGGGTTGGTCATTCTAAGGCAGAGAGGAGTGGTTCCACAACCAGGCCTTCAACCTTGTTCGCATTAGCCCCACATTGTTTCTTAGAGCCCTTTCTACAGCGCACGTACCCTGCATCGGTGACGAGCTGGTCGCCGCGTCCCGGAATGCATTTGACGCAGTTGACCGACACGGAGTCGCTGCAGTTGGGCGGCTTCGAGTCCCCAGCCTGTATTCACGCGTCGTACGCATCGGAAAGAAAGAAATGGAGCGGGAGGCAAAAACGATACATTTTGCCTCGAAGTTACGTGGAGACAAAAGAAACTCTCCGTTTGTCTGCAGGTTGACATTATCCTTTCTTCCGTTGCATTCCAGCGTGTTGCATCGGCGACAAGGAGAATGGCGTGAATACCGTGAGCGGGAAAGAAAGAAAGAAAGAAAGAAAAAAAAAAAACAAAAAACAAACAAACAAACAAACAAACAAACAAACAAACAAACAGTATCAGCTCGTTCGCTGTTGCAAAGAAATAACAGATCCGCACCTGTAGCCACGCGTGTGCTTCGGCGAGCAGGAGCAGCAGGAGCGGGAAGAAGATGGGCATGGCGACAGAGCTGAAGGCATTGACGGCAACATTGTACGAGTACCACCCGTACAGCTCCCACTTGTTCACCGGCGTCTTCTTATCGCTCGGCTCTAACCCTACCGATGCTAGACTCGACATGGCTGGTCTAGAATATCAGAGCAGATGCTGTATTGAACGATATGTTTTCCAGAATTTGCGAGTTTTGGGTGTGACGAGCAGGTCCTATTACCGGTTTAGGAAATGCAGAGGAGAGCACAACGAACGCTTTCCTGCTGCAAATGATGGAAACAAGCTACAAGCAAAGTAGCAACGAACGCGTTGAACGCGGAGCCTCACTTAGTCAAAGTCTTACACAGAACCACTAATTTCCTGGGGAACAGTGCTCAATCTATCAAGCAATGTATGAGAATATGCAGGACAATCGGAAGATGCATCGGAAGATGCTCAAGGGAAGCAGTCTTTGTAAACTATTTGTGGTATTGAGCATGGATCCTAGATATCATGTCAGAGCAGTGAGATGGGAAGAACTCCAGAGAGTGATGAAACCAAGAGGAAACCGATGACCCCTTTCTCTTGCATTTGTGAATTGGTTTGGATCTGCACCGCCTTTCCCGCCTTCTTTTCTCGTGCAGGAATATCACAGGAGTCTACGAGGTCCTGATTGGTTGCGATTTTCCGGCAACGTCTAGGGAGTGGTGGGTTCGGAACTCGACAGCCTAGTCCTGCACTTTCTGTCTGACACACACAGGTCTTTCGGCCGAATCGCTACCGTCCGTAGCCTCACCTCACCTCACCGCATCTCATCTCCACCGCTTGGTTAGCCCTGGATCACCTACAAACTGATCGCGTAACAGAAGCGGAGAAATAAGTCAGGTATACCTACACCACACTTCCTGAACTCCGTATAGGTACATCTGTCATCACCCTACCATCGCCGTTTGCCACTGGCACCGTGGCCCCCGCCTTTCATCTCCCACTTTCCATTTTCCATCTCTTATCTCCCACTTTCCATCTCCCATCTCAGATCTCCCACTTTCAATCTCCCAACTTCCATCTCCCACCTCCCATACACGTAAGCCCCCGGATAAGGCCTCGGATAAGCGCCGGCGCTTATAAAAGGATGAGGGCGCTTATATCCGGTCCTCGATTATAAGCGCACCCCTGAAGGCTTAACGGATTATAAGCGCCACCCTCTGTAATTATTTGTTATATTCTTACTGGAAACGCTGTAACGAAACACAATTTTGCATCCCCACATTCAGAAATTTGAATCCCTTCACCCTCGCGCGACTCAATGCCTTCGCGTCCAGTCAGAATGAGCTGTCATGGGGTCAATCTGACTCATTCTGACTGTGTGTGCTGGCAGGGAATCAGCCACTGCCAATTTACGTGAAATTCACATTCATTGCCCTCTACAATATTGATTCGATTCAAATCACAAGGACGAAATGAACACTATGATGTAAAAAAAATAGATTTCATATATGTCATTATATAAGCCCCGGCGCTTATAAAAATCCTCAATTATAAGCGCACCCCCTAAAAAACAGTGTTTTTTTATACCCCCAGGGGCGCTTCTATCCGGGGGCTGACGTTATCCCATCTCCCACTTTCCATCTCCCATCTCCCATCTCATACTTTCCATCTCTAATCTCCGACTTTCCATCTCCCATATCCCATCTCCCATCTAATATCTTCCATCTCCCATATACCATTTCCCATCTCCTAGTTTCCATTCCTCATTTCCCATCTCCCACTTTCCATCTCCCATCTTATTCTCAAAGTATGAATGCAACGGAATGATGAGATTAGGAATGTGGGTGATACAAATAGAACCCTAACTGGGTTGTACTCACTAAGGAGCACCTCACTACAGCCTATCACAAATATCAACATTTGACACACCCCCATAGGCTAAGTGAGGGGCATCAAAGCAAGCAGGATGAACAAACGATCACAAAACCAGTCAATGCAAGAAGCAAAGCAAGCTCAGGGTGGATCTCAAAGACACCATACAAATTCCTAGCACAAACAAGGGGCCACAAGGCCAGTTCAAGAGTTCACTAGGACATATAATAGCAAAGCACAACAAGTAGAGCAAGCAATAAGACTACAGCAACCGAGGACCTACCTCAATTAGCCCTAACTGCACAAAGAACCAGTGGTGATCACCAGGCGCCAATGCCTTGGTGAAGAGGTCAGCAGTGTTGGCCAGCACCTGGCTGCGTTGCTGTAGCTCACGCAGGAGGAAGTACCGGACGTCGACGTGCTTCACCCAAGTCTCCAGTCGAGGCTCACGACATAAGAGAATCAAGGCTTTGTTGTCAGCGAACAAGGCCGGAGCAGCGCGAGGTCGCTCACCAAGGTCAGCGAGCAAGAAGGTGAACCAGCGAAGCTCTTGAGCAGCCATAGCACCGGCGTAGATCTCTGCCTCTACACTGGACGAAGCCACCGACGTCGACCGTGTGGACCTCCACGACATAGCCCCAGCTCCCAGACTGAAACAGTAACCCTGGGTCGAGCGCTGAGTCTCAACGTCGTCAGCATAAGAAGAGTCACAGAGGCCACTCAGCCCAACTGGCCGAGTTTCTCCAAGCATACGCCCCATGCCTGATGTAGTCGCCAGGTACTTCGCCACCCTCACGGCAGCCATCCAGTGAACAGGACGGTGCCTCCCAAGTCCAACAAATGTGTCGGATGGTTCGGTCAGTATGCACGCTTGTGTGTAGGTACGAGGCGGATCTGGAACTTTGATATCCCCCAAATTATGTGGATCAGAAAGGTTAATTTAGTGGATTGGTAAGACTATGGTACTAACTGCATCTCTATAAACATTAATCATGCGCTGGTCAGTTTGGTCGGTATGCGCGCCTATAGTGCATGTACCATGTACGACTTGATTGTCTATATCTCCCAATTTACATAGATCCGATAGGTTAAAACATGGCCAGAGGGTGGGGAAGGGTATAATCCAAAGGAAATGGGAATACATATGGTATTCATTGTATTTGTAAAGAGAGAATAATGCGTCGGTCAATCCGGTCAGTATGCACGCTCGTGTGTAGGTACAAGGCGGAACTCGAACTTTGAAATCTCCCAAATTATGTGGATCGGAAAGGTTATAAGCTAGTGTTGTTGAAGTAGAAGGCCTAATCTAGTGGACTGGTAAGAATATGGTACAAACCGCATCTCTACAAACACAAGTTATGCGCTGGTCGGTTTGGTCGGCATGCACGAGAGCAGGTACCATGTACGACAGCATTGTCTATATCTGCCAAATTACATAGATCCGATAGGTTAAAACATGGTTGGGGAGTAGGAAATTGTATGATTAAAAGGAAATGGAAATACATATGGTATTCATTGTGTTTGTACAGAGAGAATAATGCGTCGGTCGGTTCGGTCAGTATGCACGCTTGTGTGTAGGTATAAGGCAGAGGAGGAATTTTGAAATCTCCCAAATTATGTGGAATGGAAAGGTTATAAGCTTGTGTTGTTGAAGGAAAAAGCCTAATCTAGTAGACTGGTAAGAATATGGTACTAACTGCATCCTCCACAAACATAAGTAATGCGCTGGTCACTTTGGTCGGTATGCACACCTGTAGTGCATGTACCATATACGACTGAATTGACTATATCTGCCAAATTACATAGATCCGATAGGTTAAAACATGGTCGGGGGGTGGGGAATTGTATGATTTAAGGGAAATAGGAATACATATGGTAATCATTGTATTTGTACTAAGAGAATAATGCGCCTGTAGGTTCGGTCATTATGCACGCTTGTGCGTAGGTATAAGGCAAAACTTGAATTTTAAAATCTCCCAAATTATGTGGATCGGAAAGGTTATAAGCTAGTGTTGTTGAAGTAGAAGGCCTAATGTAGTGGATTGGTAAGACTATGGTATTAACTGCATCTCTACATGCATAGATCATGTGCTGGTCAATTTAGTCGATATGCGCGCATGTAGTGCATGTACCATGTACTGTCAGAATGTTATATTGTCTAGCCTGCAGTGGGGTACTCTATAGCGAGTACAGCCCAATCTAGGGTTTGCTATTTGTACTCAACTGCCTGCTAGTTCAAACCCTCTTTCTGTTCCTAACTTCTGCCTAACTTGTTTCGACATGCTATCAGAGCAGGTCGACCCCCTTGGGTCGATCCTGTGGGTGGGCCCACCACCTAACTGCTTCCGCTGCTGTTATGCTTCTCGCGCGCCTCGGGCGTGCGTCGTCTTCTTCCTGCCGAAAATTTTTAGGGTTTTCATCCCGCCGTGCGCTCGGGGCGCGCGGCGGTTTTCTGCCCGCCGTGCGCCCCGAGGCGCACGGCGGTTTCCTATCGTGGGGGACCCGCGCGCGCCCCCGCCCTGTCCGTCGCGTCGCCCTAGGGGACCCGCGCGCTGCCCCCGCTGCCCCGTCGGTGGTCGCGTCGCCCCGCCACCCCGTCGCGCCGCCCTGGGGAGCCGCGCGCGACCCCCCGCTGCCCCGTCGACAGTCGCGTCGACCAGCTGGAGCCGCGCGCGGCTCCCGATTCCCCGTCGCGCCGCCCTGGGGAGCCGCGCGCGACCCCCCGCTGCCCCTTCGCGGCGCCCTGGGGAGCCGCGCGCGGCCCCTCGCTGCCCCGTGGTGGCGCCCTGGGGGCCGCGCGCCGTCCCCCTCGCCGTCCCCCGCGCTCCTTCCCCCGTTCCGCCCGTTTTAGGGTTTGGGGGTGGGGAGTGTGGGGGTGGCGGTTGTGGGGGTGCCGGTTGTGTGCCCCGTCCCCTCCTCCTCCTCCTCCTTCGTCTCCCGCTGCTGCAGCTGCCGCTCAGGGGGGTGGTTGTGTGGGGAGCCGAAGGAGTGGTGCTAGGGGGGTGAAGGGGGAGTGGAGCTAGGGGCGCAGCAGGGGGTGTGTGTCGAGGGGTGTGGGACTGTTGGGGGAGATTGAGTGGAGGTTGCCGTCGTGTCGTCCGCAGCGCCTGTATTCCGGGGTTCTGATAGCCACCGGTAGCTCAGAGAGCCGGTTGCACCTGTCGCCCGTGGGTCCGTTGCTCCTGTCGCTGCTGATCAGACGCAGAGCCAGTTACTCCTGTATTCCGGGGCACTTGCTCCCGGTAGCCACTAGCGTTGCACCAGAGCCGTCTGTTGCCCGTGTGTCTGCAGCTTCAGTCGTCGCCTCCCATCTACTCTCCTCTCGCCAGCCCTCCTCCTCCTCACTTGCCCTCAGTGACTGCCTCTACCTTTGCTCATAATTTATGAACTATTGCTATTGTGACTGCTTGTTGTGCTGATTACACCCCACTTTGGCTATGGGGGTGTGTCAGAATGTTATATTGTCTAGCCTGCAGTGGGGTACTCTATAGCGAGTACAGCCCAATCTAGGGTTTGCTATTTGTACTCAACTGCCTGCTAGTTCAAACCCTCTTTCTGTTCCTAACTTCTGCCTAACTTGTTTCGACATGTACGACTGGATTGTCTATATCTGCCAAATTACATAGATCCGATAGGTTAAAACATGGTCGGGGGGTGGAGAGTGGTATAATCTAAATGAAATGGGAATACGTATGGTATTTATTGTATTTATAAAGAGAGAATAATGCGTCGGCCAATCCGGTCAGTATGTACGCTCGTGTGCAGGTACAAGGCGGAACTTGAACTTTAAAATCTCCCAAATTATGTGGATCGGAAAGGCTTTAAGCTAGTGTTGTTGAAGGGGAAGGCATAATCTAGTGGACTGGTAAGAATATGGTACAAACTGCATCTCTACAAACACAAGTTTTGCGCTGGTCAGTTTGGTCGGTATGCTCGTATGTAGTGCTTGTACCATGTACGACTGGATTGTCTATATCTGCCAAATTACATAGATCTGAGATCTTAAAACATGGTCGAGCTGCGGGAAATGGTATGATTTAAAGGAAATGGAAATACATATGGTATT